TTCTCCTTATGTCTTTCTAAGGCGGGTTGGTTATCTTATTGAGTAGCCCTTACCCTGCCCTGATACAAGTTTCGAAACTCTTAAGAAACAGTAGAAAGAAGGGGTCGCCAGTTGCCGCCATAGAAATTTCACGGTGGTTCAAGCTATGGCTGCTATTTTTTTGCGGTTGGTCCCGGCAACCTGTATATCAGAGATGCCTGCACCTAAGTCTTTTTTGTGGGGATGCTCATGGCTGCATTAATGTTGAGTTTGGCTAGTTTTCTTCGCCTCTGCTTTTCTAAGATGCGTCAACTTGCACTTCTGCATGTCGAAGCTCAAAATTTTGATCAGTCTAAGTTCCAGGCTGCAGTTAACAGTCTCAGAATATTCTAAAATCCTCTTCCATACCTGTTGCCCCTCCGAAAGATTTAGAGAGCATGCAGGATACCTGACTGTGGTGCGGCTACACAGGAGTATGATCCTCTGTAAGCTCCTTTCTCACTTAATAAACGTAGATGTCACGATTTACTTCGGAGAATGTCCATTCTAACAGCCTGAATTCCTTAATATCGGCAAAGATCGCCGACTCCGTAAAACGTGAACCCACGGAACATCTACTGCCTTCGGTCTATGGAAGGAACTGCCACACGACACGGCAACAGCCCCCAAAGTAGGGCCTGTGTGAAGAAAGCTGGACATTTACGCTAGTAAGTTGTCCCACGACCGAACACTTTTATCTCCCTTCCGATCGCCTCGTATACTTCAGTGACCCTCATTCCTTAATTACCTCTTCCTGTTATTTATTGAATCCGTTCTATCTGTGCTTGGACAGCCATGCCCCTGCAGTCTCAAGAAAACTTATAACCATACTCCTAGTCTCTTGGCTTATCAACATGTCATTCTGAATACTGACGCGTTTTGCTCGTCTCCAACCCACTCATTTAAAGCGGCACTTACGACTACCCACATAAGGCTTTTGCGCTCAGTCCAACGGTTTGGAACACTCTCCGCGGAACATACAATCTTTGCCTGGTCGCTACTGTTACTCCACAGACAGAAAACTGTTCTGTAGGTCTAGCTGTTCCATAAAATTTCTATAGCTTAGACTTATCCGTCTGCAAGATCACATCTTTCTCATTTGTACACCCAGAAGTTGAATGTAGCCCTAATCCCAACCAAAAGTGGGATCGACAGCTTACTTTTCAGGTCATCCACTTTTGCTTGCCTGATATATTAAATCCCCCTCTTCCCTGCTTTTCGTGTGTTTGCCAAAATGCATCTTAATGGCGCGTTGACTTTGGTTAAATCCAGACCTAAACTACCTCAAATTAAGCTTCACCTCAGTTACTGACCAATATCTTTTCAGTAGCGGCTACAACCAGAGCGAAGCGGCATAATAAAGGCTCAGATAATTTTGGCTCGTCGTCTAGGTCAGATTAAGCTGAGCAGTCGCGGGTACCTAAACATGTAAACGGCCAGCTCTCTGACCTTCCGTCACTGGTCAGGGAAAAGTAGACCCTAATAATACACTTGGCTCACATACATGTCTGCTCGTAAAGACTTCCGAAGAGGAACGACAAAGAGTAGGAAAAAGACCCTGACCAAGCATACTGGCCATAGTGACTACTGTCACACAAGTGGACTCACTGTAGCCGGAAGTGATTCATCCTTAGAGTGTAGCCTCTGTAGTAGGTGGGTACACCATCAGGATGATATGGGTACACCGGATCAACGCTATACTTTCTTGATGCGTCACTCATGCACATCAGTCCACGGCGTCGCATGAGCCCATTTCAAGCTAAAAGTCCAATAAGAGAGATCACAGAAAGACTTAACAGTTGCCTAAGTGGAATCCTCCCACATCACTGCCATGAATGAGGGGGACGACGGAAAGACGGTCGGTGATGCTCCATTTACGGTGATGGCTGTGAGTAGTTAGAAGACTGTCAAATGACTGGCAACCACGAGACCAACCACATCAACCTCAATCCTTGAAACCACCCTTATGATTAAGAGTAACAAACGTCGAAGAAAATGGCTTTAAGGGTGGAAAAATACACAATTCCCAACGATGCTCACCCATGGTAAATGATAATAAACATTTCGATCTTCATTCAAACCCCGTCACCTTTTTCAGAGTTTCAGTAAACAACTGCCATCTTTTTCAGCACAAGGAACAGCCAGGCAAATAGGAGTGGGATACCTTATTCCGCAAGGAGAGATTAGGTGGCCAAGAGGTTAAATTCTGATGGTTCTACAAAAGTAGTCGTTCATATCCAGTGAGGCCTCAGCCAAAGAATGTCAAGAAGCTCTCCTAAAGAAGCCAAGTGATAAATCTTACTTCCACACACGGTAGTTATCAATCAGTCATCCAGCGCAAGAGCTGAACAGGATCGCTCAGCGAGGTAAACGCTTCGAGAAGCACATTGCCTACAAAGATCCCCATCTACACCCATCCGTGGAAAACCGGGACCAGTGAAGGGCACCATGGGAGAAAATTATGCCCATATTATCTGGCAACAGCAGTAGCTAGCAGGGTGAATGGGACTGAAGGCAGAATCAGGGGCATCAATATGTACGTTACCACATCCTCCAAACCGTACAGTTTTGGCCTCACCGGGATTGACGGCTGCCAACTTCACATGCTTGGGGCTTTAAACCAGTGTGCTCCACAGTTAAGACTTTAGCAGCGGCAATGTTCATTCCATTGACAGTAGGCGTACCACAATTCGGCTACTGCAAACAACAGTCTCTCTTCGTGCTCAGGCCGCACTACTCTACATCGACATGATGAGGACTAGGACAATAACTTTCACTGAGCGACAGGTACAGAAACTATCCGTGAAAAACCTAAGTGAGCAGGCCCAACCGGAACTGTTGGGACAGTAACGACTCTCTTCGCCGCTGCGCATAAGCTTCCGCCACCGGTCTCCGCAGAAAAACTCGACTTTGTGACTAGCACCTCCCAGTGTCTTCACGCCAGTTTAAAGCGACTCACTGGTAAGACGAGGGAGCCTAAGCCCCTATGTCGTCACTTCCTCCGAAAATTATACCCCTGTCAGCAATTTGCCCTCGATTCGATATAAGTGGCGTCGATGCGAATATATTACGTAGTCTTCTGTTGAGTGGAAATAGGGAAAGTGAAGGAGCTGGTGGGGTAACAACGTTTATGAGTAGCCAGTTTAAAAGTGAGCAAAGCACTGATATTATGTTGACAGACTTCAAATCATACAGAATATGAAGTGTTGCCGACCAACAGCATTCTAACAGTGTTGTTAGAAGTAATGGAAAGTTTGATAGTCTTCCACTTCAGAAAATAACTGAAAGAATACAGAGCACTTAGCGAAGCTCGACATGGATTCCGAAAAGGTCGGTAGTGCACTATGACCTTCTAATGACCTGTAACAATTGTACTCCAAAACGAGACCCCTAAATTCTCTTTAATATGAGTTTTCTAGATGTAACTAGGGGATGTGAGAATAAGGATAACCGAAAAAGGGTCGACTGTACTACGGGACAACCCTGGATTGCTTGAGGATCGGGCAGTTAACCTGTACAAATCCCAGGGCGAGTTTTCAGCGCACGCAACTGGCAAAAAGTATCCCCCTCCTTTTATTTTACTTACTTTTTTCAAACGATAACACGGAAGGATCTGGATCCGGTGCTGGCCCATAAACTAGACTCTATTTCAAACTATACAGGAGGCGCCTGGGGATTATACGCCTCGTTACACTTTGCCTTCAGACAACGAGATGCCATCACCCTGTGACTGCAACTGAACCTTCACGAGACCTGTGTATGACGTAAACGAGAGGTTCGCAAAGTCTCTGTACTAGAACGCCTGGAATGAGATGCAAATCTCCTTGACGAAGTCCACAGGCGATTCACAAAGGGTGTCGTAGGTATGTGGCGAAAATCGTGCGGTGGAAGACTAAAGGAAATAGGCATTTAACCTTTTCGTTATCTTAGGACGTGTGGTGACCCAATAATGGTCTACAAGATACTCAATAAGCAAAGACACTAGAACAGGATATTACTGAATGATCACTGTGGCAATCCTTGTGGGAAGCGAAAGACAAGTGTCTGTCATTCAGTGAAAGTCCGGTCAAATCCACATTTCTCTTCTCTCCGAGTCTGCGGCTAGTGGGAAGCAGTGCCTGTGGAGGAACCCACTGCAGCTTCGAGAGCTTTGATAAAATTTTGGACAGGAACGAAAAGACATGGGTTGCTCTTGTCTTGTCTGGATAAGGACTAGACTTAGGCAAACAGCTGACATCACATCATTTCAAAACTCTCTTCCCTCCATACCAATTCCTTTTCATTACCATTATTTTTATGGACTTGATTCGGTCCTGTGCTCCGAGTAAAATGTCTAATTTCTCCAGCTACTATGCCACTACTAATGTCATTGCTACCTCTGTTTCCATTATTCCTACGATTACCCTCCCTGCTCCTTTCGCTTGTTCTTGACGTTTTAACTCCGTCCATTTAAGTCTTGCATGCTTTGGTTTTCTTTCCCACCCCTCTTGAATATACATTCATTTTCCCCTTCATTTTCCTTTCCTTCTTTTCGTTTTGTTTCTGATACCCTTTCCTTTGTTTTCTTGGTCTTATTTTCATTATTTTTATGTTCCTCTCGTGACGGTGATTTTTGAGGATAACGTCAATGTCAATCATGGGGTGAACTATACACATCCATACAAAATCATTCAATACCCAGCCACTCATATGGCTTGTCAGAGCTATAGTAGGCGAAAGGCTGGACCTGCTGCATCGGAATCCATCAGGTATCTGGAACGGTTCCACAGGAACCAGAAGTGAGCTCCAAGAAATCACCTGTTTTATGAAAACCAGTGGAACAGGTTTCGGTAAAAACAAAAGAAACAATAGCATGCAATCGAACTTACAAGCGAGTAAATGGAGGAGACCCTCTCGTTCACCTAAGGAGTATAATTCAGTAAAAAGTAAAAATTCCAGGAAAAGAAGCTAGGGTTCAGATCCTACCACTTTCCTTTAACTGCATGTCTGTTGCTGAGTTTTACGTTGGATATTGGATGCTTGCTGGAGCATTTTATGAAAATCAGTTTCTATGGTGTTCATACTGTTTACCTGGCAATTCAAAAAGACTGAAAATTCAGACAGTAATTTCACAGATTGAAATGTCTGATTTGGTAAAATATGAGAAGGTTGAAAACATTGGGGAGGGAGCTTTTGGAAGAGCAATACTCGTCTTATCAAAATCAGACAATATTCAAAGGGTTATGAAGGAGATAAATATCAGCAAAGTATTCTTAGCCAGTTTTGTATCTTGATTTACTCAAATAGATGACTCTGAAGGAGAGAGAAGAAGCTCGAAAAGAGGTAATCCAAAACGATCACGTTTTTAACATTTTGATTACCACAGTAATGCATCATAAGATATCTTTCAAGATATATAATATTCATTTTTTTATCATAAAACTGACAAATTTGATTTCAACATAATCAGGTTCATGCTTGAGCGCACTATGAAAAAACATAAATATTCTTTTGTTTAGAACCTTCATTGTGCTAAGGCACACACACTCAAGCTATTTCTGCAGTTTCACTATCTTAATATATATATATATATATATATATATATATATATATATATATATATATATATATGAATCGCTTCGAATTTGTGTTTCAGGTTTATAGTCTAAAAACAAAAGCTGTTCAGATGTAATGATGATTTTCCAGTAGATCTTTTTACTTATCTAGTCCTCTTTCAAATTCAGATTCAGATTTGTTGTTTGAGGATAGGAGGCTGGAGCCCATGTTAATCATTTTCCAACAAATTTCTGTGCTTTTCCAATCTGCTTTTGAGCGAGTCACTTGGTGATGTGGACACCACTTCTTCTGGGAGTCGGATCCAGGAGTTAATTACTCGACGCGAGAACCAGTACTCTGCAGAGATTATGTTCGTTCTTTGCTTTTGTAGTCTCCTACTATGTCCTCTGAGGTATTTTAACCTAGTGGGAAGAAAACGAGAAGACAGAACAGGTCCGAAGTTATTTCTTAGAATCCTGTATATCATGATTAGGTCTCCTCTCTGTCTGAGATAGGACAAAGTGAAGAGGCTCAGCTCCTTAAGTCGGTCTTTATAGCAACGGCCAGCCATAGCAGGGATCATACGAGTGGCTGTCCTCTGAACTCTTTCTAGAAGGTCTGAGTCACCTTTCAGACAAGCATTGGCCGCCTGTGTACAGTTTTCTAATTTCGACCTCACTAAGGATGTGTATAAGGTGGTAGACATGTCACCATTTATTTCCATAAACATTCTACGTAATGCCTAGAGAGTTCTAAAACTCCAAACTGTTACTAATCACAACTCACCGTGACTGCAAGGTTATTGTGGGTCAGTACTGATGGTAAAGAAGTCCCATCAATATCGCTGGTGTTGCTGTGTGTGTGCCCCAAGTACATTCTCACACATCTACCTATATTGATAGGCATCAGCCACTTCTCTGACCAGATAAACAAGCTGTTCAGGTCTATCCGAAGCCCACGTATATCCTCATCGTTCCTAATTTTCTGCCAGATTTCTACATCATCAGCGTGGAGAACCAGAAAGTATTTCATGATATTTGACAGCTCATTTACGCATTGGAGAAACAGTAGGGGGCTCAGGACTGTACCTTGCGGCACTTCACTCTCTACCGGCTTCCAGGTGCAGAGTTGAGAATTGATCCTAACTCTTCGTCTGCCACCAACAAAAAAGTCTCTTGTCCATGCGAGCAGACTGCCAGTGATTTCAAAACTTTCTAGTTTCCCGAGCAACCTGCAATGAGGTACTTTGTCGAACGCCTTACTAACTTCATCAATGAGTCCATTGATGATATATTTCATTAATTGTATTACTGGCATATCTGATTGTTCTTCATATGTTTGTCTGCAGTAAGTCGGTTTTAGTCTAGTTCAAAAACGCTACCTTTGTCAGACTCGGGTTTAGACTTGTTATTGTCATGGACTGTGAGCCCGTATCTATCCTTTTCCAGTAGATTTCTGCGCTTATCCAGTTCTTTTCTGAGCCAGTTAGTTGATAATGTGGACACCACTTCTTTTGGAAGTCTGTTCCAGCAAGTGGTGAAGCGAAGTAAGAATCAGTACTCTACGGAGATTACTTTCGTCCTATGCCTTTGTATTCTCCTTCTATGTCGTCTTATGTGTCTCGTCCTAGTCGGAAAGAGAAGAGAAGATATATAAGGTCATTTCTTGGAATCCTGTTTAGCATGGTTATATCGCTTTTGGTCTGAGATAGGGTAAACAGAAGAGGTTCAGTTCCTTGAGTCGGTCCTTTTAGGTCTGGCCAACCATCTCAGGGATCATACAAGTGGTTGACCTCTGAACCCTCTCCATAAGGCTCGAATCACCTTCTAGATAAGCATTTGACACCTGTATACATTTTTATGGTTTAGATCGAACTATAATTGTGCATAAGGTAGTGAATATATTACCACCTAATTTTATAAACGTTCTGCGTAATACCCTAAGTGTCCTTCAACTCCGAGCTGCGATCATTCAACAGTGTGCGGGTGGTCTACCTTGTGGTACTTCACTCTCTACCAACTTCCAAGAGGAGAGATGTGAATTTATCCTTTCTTCTATCTCCTGCCAACAGTGAACTCTCTGATCCATGCAAGCGCATGATCAGTGATTCCGAAACTTTCCAGTTTCCCAAGGAACCTGAATTGAAGCACCTTATCGAACCCATGTGACCTCCCAAACTAAATTTCCTCATGATTGATAAGTCTTGTAAAGATAAACAGGAGCTGGCCATTAAGCACCGTTATGTTTGCACGTGGAAATCTCAGTATTTTTACCCCGCTTCATGAACCGCATTCCAAAACATCTTTATCAGCAATAACTTCTAAGACCTTTTGTCTGAAATGCAGGCCTCTTTACTTCAGGTTTGACGTTTCTGGTTGATTAATAATTTTCATAGATGAATTGCATTTGAAAATACCTCTTACTGCTTGCAAGTGAATTTAACAGTTTTTCACTAAAAGTACAACTTGTTGGTACAGACGTGTTTAAGATCTTTGGTTAACTTTAGTTATTGGATGAAATTTAGGTAGTGCATGCAACTGCATTCCAAGAGCCATTATGTCTCACTCAGTAACCTTTTAGCAAAGTGTAATACTGTACCTACACCTTTTCTATGAATGGTTGTCTTTTGAAGAAGATAACAAGTGGTTAAGGTATCCCCCATGATAAACGCTTCTCATGGATGTTTTAAAGTTTACTCAGCTACTATTTTTATGTCACAGTACACATATCTAAGCAATGTCAGTTTTAAATATCCTTAGGTCATAAGTAAACATACAGACCCCTCTACAGAATTGAAATGGGGTGGTTGAGGTCGTCTAATGATATCTCTGAAACTCAGAAATCCTTTGCTCACAGAGTCTTCCTCATGAAAAAGACAAATAAAGGTCTGCTACTTCTCCTAACCTTAACGACTGACTACTTGTATTTAAAACCAACTGTCCAACGAAGTCTACATGTAATTTTTAATGCATAGTGATACATAAATCTAATCGATTGAAGTTTCTCAGTGCTACAGGCCCCAGAGTATCGTAATAGCTCTTGACAGTATGATAAATATGATGTTGACCATCTTATGCCCAGAACCTGAGCAATTTTCATCCTGAAGTGTTTTGAGTTGTGAATATTCACCTTTCTGCATATGCATTAGAAGTATCTTTGAAGTTGTAACTTTCCTGGAGACGGCCACCAGTGGAATCCAGGAGGCGCATTTCTTCTTATTTGGCACTCGTGAGCTGGATTGAACTGCACACCAGTGAGTACTTTTGTCCCCACCAGGACTCAAACCCAGCACCCATCACTTCAAATGACAAAGCGTTCCCCTCTGAACTACTGAAACACGAAAGATACCTGTTTTGGGACGTGTATCAGTTATTATTGCTTGCTGATACTTGTAACTTTCCGTTTTTATTCTGGATAGAATTGACTGACTTCAGTTTCCATATGGTTTCTAATATACATGCCTCGATATTGTCTGATTATTGCTCATGTTATAACTTTCTTGGTGATGACTAGCAATGCAATCTAGGATGCACATCTCATCCTATGTTTGAGTCCTAGTGAGAACAAGACTACTCACTAGGGTGCAGATACATCCAGATGACGAGTCCAAGATGATCTGCCAACAGAGGTTGATAGATTCACTTCAGAATAACAACAGGAAATTCAAAGTATCAATAAGTAATATCTTAGAAACTATTGTACTGTTTGAAAATTTCCAGTGGACATTTGTTCACAGCCTGTTAGATGGCATGTTGACTTTTTATTATCCTTCGAAAGTTTGTTCCATTACATTTTCCACTTGTAAAACACACATGAAAATTTTTTATCATTGTTATAAAAGATTATATTCTATGTTTTCTAGAATGTTCCGTGTTTTAGTGTCTTCTGAGTCTGTCATCAACAAAATCTTTGAATCTGGTCTGTGATTTAACACAATCAATTGTTTTCCATGCTTGTATCTCATTTTTATACTTACGGCAATACTTAAAGGTACTGTGATTACAGATCGTATATCTTTCTGAGAGAATTAAGGTAGGAGTGAAAATGCAAATATTCTTTAGAATATGGCTGAGGAAAAGGATTTCTTCCCTTAAATGTAGGTGTGTATTTACCTCTCTATTACCTTGTTTAAATTTCACCTTCCTGATTTTTCATTTGGCTATTGTTTTACGTCACCAATTCTATGAATTATCAAATATTATATGTCATACTACGACCATCTTGATTCAGATTCGTCAACAAGCTAAAACATTATTGCTTATGGTTGTTTATGATAAATCTGGACAGTATTCTAATGTTCATGTTTAAAATGCCATCGTTTGCCAGCCGAACTGCGATTTTGTCAGGTCTGTGACAATTGTGCTAATAACTGATTCATTGGTAGAGCAGTGGATCAGACTGTTGCAAATAATGTAGTTCTTTATAGATGTATTTTAAAGCATTAGCAGAGGATAAAACAGCGTTCTTCGGTACAAATGTGCCTCATAATGAGACAATCCTTCAATGATTATTTTAAGACGACGTTTTTTTGAAAACACAAGTGGTTTCTGAGTGGCCTCTTTACTTGCATAGGGATCGAATGAACGCCAAAATCCATCAACAAATTATAGGCTATTTGTTTGGGAGAGTTATGAAGATTCTGATGAGATTAACGAGCCTTTGCTAATTTATGTACTTGAAAGTAAGCTTAAGATGGCTTGAAAGTTAAGGCATTGGATTAGGAGTGGATATAGAAAGCAGAAAAGAGAATAACGGAGATTTTAAACATAAAAAGATTCCCGTAACAATAATTAAACAACACCAACCTAAACAAAGAGTAATCTTTTCAATAAACATTTTCAGAAGGTTCTGTAATCATGAAATGCACTTGTACAGCGTAAGAACAAGCCAAGTCAAGGGAAAAAACATTTTCAGAATGGAAGTGAGATTTAAGGGGTGTAAGCAGATAAATTTTTCTTTATAAATTTGTCAATATTGGAATGACATACATTCAGATGAACAGTGTGATGGTGAATGAAAAGACAACGAATAAAGAAGATAGATTTGGCCTTCAGTTTACTGAAGATCAAAGAAGGAATAACGTTTCAACACTTCCTTCCTGAATGCTAAGTTCACCTTCGATCAGTCTTATTTCGACAGCACCAACTGTGTTGAGCAAGCGTTGGTGAGCTACACGCGGTATTGTACTTGGTGCATGATATATGACATTAAAAACTTTATTGAAATCCATGTGATGGTCTGTGCCTACTAGTTATATTGAGATGGATCTTTTCCACACTTTCACTTCATCTTTTGCGAATCAAGCCGATAAATGTTCTTATATAGGGATAGGCACCTGTCTAATGTTACGTTCTATGTAACTTGTTGCACAGGAACAGTTAAACTGATATGTGCAAGATGAATAATAATGATGCTAGCAATAATAAGCGAGAAATGTGATCAGTTTCATCTTGTTACATTCTAGATACAAACGTCATTATATTTTAGTGCTTGTACTAATTAACGTCAGCAGTAGTAGTTTAGCTATATAAATGATTCCTTATTCATACATTGATAGAGAACAGGTTTGCTACGATTCTCGTCCCACTTGGACATGATTACGACTTCTAATAAACAAACAGATTTCGAACTTACGCTTACAGGACATACCAAGTAAGTGCCAGAAATTAGTTATTTCTATTACTAAGGGTGATCAGGAAGGCAATCGTCCAAGCATCTAACTTCTTAGATAATGTTCGTAGGGAAAATATGTAATTGATCACGTTTAAAGAACTGCAACGGTTCAATTGAACGTTAAACATGTTTGCTAACTATTTAATTTAAAAGGTGACATAGATGAGATATGAAAATTTAGAAAGTATTCAAGAGATTTATATTCCTTATTGTGGTTATCAAGGTAGTGGACCTATAGCTCTTTGTATTTGTAGTTTCCCATCCACTATGTTGTTCTGCTCTTGAAATATTTAATATTTCACTTCACTTGTCTTTATTGCTCTGAGTCATGTAGGGAAAGGTAGACTTTTCGGTTCGGGTCTATTTGATAATGCAAATCAACGTTTGGAGACTCTATGTGATGTGGATCAGAATAGATGTCAATGGCACAGATATGTCCACATTTTATCATACTGAATTTCACTATTGTTTAAATATTCCTTACTCCGTTTCCATGACGTTGTATCATTTTCGACTGCTTTCTACTGTATTTCTTGATTTTTCATCTTGGTGCATTCCTCTTTAATATGCTGGCATGAGACTAGGTAACTTGAATCACTGCACAGTGATGCTGGTTCCTACGTCACAACAACCATTAAGTCTGCCTATCCATCTGTCTGTTTGTCTGTCTGCCTGTCTGCTTGTTTATCTATCTGAACTTTTGTATGTATCTGTCACAAGTCTATGCATCAATACATACTTCCTAAATTAATTGTTTGTCTTGTGCGCTGATGGAAATTCTTTACTGTCGGATATATGTAGTATATATGCAATTAAACTAAGTTAAGTGGGTGAACTGGGTTTCTTGTAAGCAGCTAGGAGAAGCTGCTTTCCTTCGAACAAAATTATCAACTGTAGATAAGCTTGTTTTTCATCGGAAACCTATGAGTAATTTTCATAGGTTAAATTACTATCCTTGCTCAGTTTAGGTCTTAAAATATCAGTTACTTTACTCAAGAGTAGGAAGAATTTCGCCTTTGGCTTTTTATTCTGTGATCAAGTTGATATGATTGTAATTCCATTTTAGTCTGTTTATTAGAAATACTACAGTATCATTTACTGGAGAACATTTTGGACACAATTTATTGTCCATATGAATATGGACAATAAATTGTGTCCGAAGCGTTATCCGGTGAATGATACCGTTTGTTCCCTATTTGACATTTGTAATAAACAGACTAAAATGGAATTACAATTTACCACAGTGTCCAAGTTTTACTCTTATATTGATATGATTTTTTTGTGTCAACTACTCACACATGAATAGCTTTATTAAGGTTACTACACTTTTGGGACGTAGTTTCCTTCTAGTTTTATCTTCATAGTATTCGATTACACACTTGTGCTTGTCTCCACTCCATATAGTAGTCGGTCCTTGATAAAACCTATCCAGTATTTAATTTGCGTATACATGAGGAGGCAGAAAACTAATTTACTCTTTGTCAATGACAGCCTTAGTGAAAACTGTAACCCCCCAGAAACATAAAATCAAAAGAAATGAGGATATAATGAAAACAAAATTTATTAAAAAACCAATAAAATCTCTTAAAGTGTTGATCTCCTTTTGGTGGTGACTATCAGGGCGGTCCAGGGCACACATTTAGTCCTACTTGGAACTCATCAGAAGAGTGTACCTGCATCTCAGTAAGTGATTCTGTCTTCACTAAGGCTAAAAAATATATCTCCCGTCGATTCGAACACTAGAAAGTTATTTACTAGGCTACAAAGTCATGGCAGACATCCTTTGTACAACAGGTATCATTTCTTATTTATTGATGCTTATAGCTTACTGTTAAGTATTTTACTGGACCGAATTAATTGGTCTCTGCTGGCTTATCCGCTCCTGGAACTGATGCCTCTATAATGTTTCAAGTTTCGTTTTGATTTCAGTCACTTGGCTGGGGCTGGTAGAGGGATTCAAGATGTATGTTTCCTCGTATTTGGAACTCGACAGCTTAGTGCACCTCCATCCTAGTGAGTGACGGAGTCCTAATACTTACCGACTGATTGCTTTTGGAATTAGATGGTGATACAGTTTTCCATCTGTATTCAGACAGTATGTAGTACAGAGTTTATTAAAGACTTTCATTGCTTCTATAGCATAATTTATTTTCTTGTATGCGTTAGATTATTTAATCTTGAAGCATTAGGGAGATGGGGTATTACTTGTCTAAAACTACAGATGATAATTTTGGAACTTTAGTCGTTTCTCCATTTTTGATAAGCTAATTCTTGAGCGTAAAACGTTTATAAAGATTGCTACCCCATGACAAACCTGTGGGTATTCATAATTCAGTTTAAAAAATTTAAATACGCGGATTTAGTTACACTTTTCTTTATTTCATAAAAGGCAATCATTATTTATTGATAACGTTTTGTGGTTTGAAGTAATGAGTAAAGGGTTCAATTCTCTATAGGGACACTGCCACTCACTCGGGTACAGGTACATTCAGCTGACGAGTCTCAAATTGGAAGAAACATGCATCCTGGATTCCACTGCTAGATACCACATAGACAATTATGAAAGGTAATGAATACCATAGAATAAAGGGGAATATCCTACTATTCTTCTATGTTAATTGATGCACATCTGAATCACCTTGGTTTATTAACTGGTTGGGCTTCAAATCCTGTCTAAGAGAGATTGCTTTTGTACTTATCCTGCAAAGTATATATTCACAAATGTGTTCTGTCCTTTTCTTCAATACTTTTAACATGAACATCAGTTATTTCAATTGAAATGGATAATGACATTCTCCAGTTACTCCTCTGATAGTAATATGGTCTTTAGGCAACCGCATTACCAAGCATTAACCGATTATGGTGTATTCTTTTGTTTTTGTTATAACTGCTCAGTTTATGAGTAGCCTTAGAAGATGTTTGATACTCAGGTAATATTGTGCATTTGTTCTGGCCTCTATTTGAAGCTTTTTGATGGTAAAGTTTTGGTAGTATCTACGGCTAAGTATGTGGGTGTTCTGAAAAGGAAGTGGTCACTGAACTGTTAGTGTTTCTGACGGAGCAATTGATATTGATTCGACGGAGATGAAAACTAAAGCATCTGTAGGAAACGCTTGCATTAACAGACACTCATTATCCAATAAATTTGTTTTTTATCATTCCCTCGTTGACTGAACCAAATTGATCGATCTCTATTGGTATATGGGCTTCTAGACGGACGCCTCGACATTTTATATGGTTCCAATTTCATAATAATGATTGATAGTGACTAGCAGTGGAATCCAGGATGCACGTTTCGTCCTACCTGGGACTTGTCAAGTGGACGTGCTTCCCTCTTAGTCAGCGATGCTGTTCCCACTATGATCCGAACCTAGCGCTCATCACTTCAAATGCCAGATCTCTGCCCACTAGGTCACCTAGTCACGATAGCCAATTCTTGAACATGATGTCAAACGGCACTTCACCCCAGAAGTCGAAAAGTACTGTCTATTTACTCACGATGAGCTCTTAGATTATCAAATAACAGGGTAGAATTCAGTTGTCTGGTGTATAAATCTCAATAAACTCATGCATACTGTCCAAAAGTTGCAAAACAGGACCAATGATATTTTACTACCTTTGGTTTTCTGAATGATTTCTACAGACTAATGGGATAATTAGTACCTAGAACCAGTTACACTAATGATTATGCCTCATATGATATTGAAACATTTTCATATCAGTTCTTCGGTTCAGACAACAGCTAGAAATATTCACTAACTTTTTCATCAAAAAACCATAAGAAACTTTGTTGAAATAATTCAGTTTAGATATTTGAAGTAATATTTTTACAGGATTCTAAAAATAAAGTTTTGAAGTTGTATTTAATAGGATTTTTAGTGGATGTTGTAAGTTGTTTAATATGAATTTATGTAAGCCAGAGAAGAATTACAGAGTTAACTTGTAGTTTTACTTGCTTTTCTAAGAGGTGAATTCAAAGGCTTCATATTCCATAGTAATTTGATTACTTTTCATCTGCTAGATTGAAAACTAGTTATAAAAGTTTCTTAAATGCCATTAATTTGTAATGGAGCTTGAGAGCTCTACCAGGAATTAGCTGGTGGTTATTTGTCATTGTTGAAAGCTGTAAATTACCACATTGAGAGGAATATTTCTTCAGAATTAGTTCCTTAATGACCAGTAGATCATTACTGAAATGAAAAGTTTTAGACATTAATTTTGTTAGGCAATACTTCTCTTCATAAATTGACACTAATTGTAGAATAATGTGGAATATGAAGTCATTCGACAACGAGAATATTTGTAGCGCAGGTGGATGGTCTTGGTCCTATTGAGTTCTCTGAGCTGGGTTGTTTAGTCGTGAAGCCTTCATCGTCTTTCTGGACGACATCGCCAGCACTAACTTCAGTATGAAGTGAGCTGTCAATATCTCTCCGTGAGTGATTTAGTGGCTTGCTCTGACGATGTGGTCTGTGATTGGTTGTTTCCTTCGATTGTTGTGTCATTGATTGTATAGACTTTCCTGTTGGCTGTTCCTCTGCTTGACCTCTCAACTTTCTGTCGTTTATCATTTTTCTTATTGGTTGATAGATCGGGTCTATGTCTATACATCTATTGATTGCTGACTGGCCTGAATGCCAGGCTTCTAGGAATTCTCTGATATTTCTTGTGTTTCCTCTCTCCGTCCAAAATTTCTACATTGTCGAAATTGAATTCATGTCCATAATTATCCACATGCATTGAAATGAGTGACAAAATGTCGTGACTTTTAATAGCCAATCGGTGCTCATGTAGACGAAAGCGAAGAGGGCGGCCATCTTATTCAATGTAGTGTTGACTACAGTTATTGCAGTTGATTTTGTAAATGATATTCGATTTGTCTTCTTTGGTTGTTGCATCCTTTGATCTGCATAATAGTGTTTGGAGGGAATTTGTTGGTTTATGAGCCACACCAACTCCAAGTGGTTTCAGTAATCTTGTCATGATTTGTGATATATTCTTTAAGTATGGTGGTAGGATGATGCGTTTATTGATTTCTGTCGATGACTTTGCAGATGATAATGTACGGGATAGGTATCTTGTGATAAAGTTTCTTGGGTAGCCGTTCTTCTTTAGGGTGGACACCAAGTAATTTTCTTCGTTTCTCGTTGAAGTTGTTGTACTGCAGTATGTTCTCAGTCTTTTGAATAGAGTCTGCACGCAACTGATCTTGTGCGTTGTTGCTACTGTAGCTGAGTATTTGGTCAGTGTGTGTAGGCTTCGTATACACTTGGGTTTCCAGCTTTCCGGCATTTGTCTTACTGACTAAACCATCCAGGAATGGTAGTTGGTTGTTTGACTCTTTCTCCATTGTGAATTTACCAGACAGATCGCAGTGATATAAAAACTGGGCAGCCATTTCGCTTGTTTGGGACCGAGCTCGTCAGTGGTGAACTGGCTGGATCACCGTAACTGGCTATCTGACCTGTATGAACCAGCTTACCTTAAATGGGATGATCGAACTGTAAATGACTTATAAGTCGCGCGGCCCATGCTGACATTTCTTACAGTTGAGTAGTTTTCAAGCTGCCCAACAGTGGTGTCAACGTGGTTTCCACTTGAAACTAGTTGTTCTGAACTATTCAGCTCTATGAGCTGTTCTTCTTCAACCTCAATACAGCGAAGTGGCCACCCGGTGTTTACATCCTTTTGATCTGGCTAGTGAAATCTGCCGATCAACATGGATGTTAACTGACCACTTAAGTTGTTCATTAGTATAAAAGGAAACTTTATTCACTACTTAATTCAAAACAGTATCTTTTCAATTATTGACTGTCTTCTGCAACAGTTAAACTTGAAATCTAACTTCCAACCATGATTCATATCCACCTCTCGTAAAGTGTAGTTGTGAGCTGTCGAATAGACAAGAACCAACTGTCTGTTCATGCCATACTGCACCATTCATCGAGTTAGACATTTTCATCTCTATCCAGAATGACTGTAATTCAGTCGGAGCAACAACAAAGACACTCATATTTAGATTGTTTGTGATGAAATTATCTAGCCACCTTCGACAATAGCGAGGTACACAACGAATAAAGCTGACAAGATTCCCTAGTCTAAACTAACTAGAGTACGAAGTTACGCTGAATAGTTTGAGCTATCTTGTAGGAAATTTATGGCACAATGAATAATTTAACTGACCACATTACATTATTTATGCATACTAATAATAAGACTTTTTTTGTTGAGATTTATTCAGAATTTTTATCATTTTCTGTGTTGCTTCTTCTTTCTTAGGTTTCTGTCCTCTCTAAAATGAATCATCCAAATATTGTTCAATATTGTGATTCATTTGAAGGTAATTAGTAATCTGTTCCCTTTGGTTATTAGATCACTTGGTCCGTTTTCATTCAATGCTCTAAAAAGAATCTGGATGGTTATATATTATTATGGAATACTGTGATCAAGGTGATTTATACACTAAAATTAATAAACAAAATGGTGTACTAATGCCTGAGACATTGGTAATTGAACTCAATCGTTGTTTAAATACATCAATTTAAATTTTCTACAAGATATTGGATTATTTTGTTCAAATCTCCCTGGCACTCAAACATATTCATGATAGGATGATTTTACACAGAGATATTAAAACACAAGTAAATTTGTATTTGTTTTAACCAATTGAAATTCTATTCTGTTCGCTTACTAGAATGTGTTTCTTACCTCAAAAGGTCGTTTGAAGTTAGGCGATTTTGGTATTGCTAAAGTATTGAATCATACATTGGATTTGGCGCGCACCTGTATTGGAACGCCGTATTATTTATCACCGGAAATTTGTGAAAATAAACCATATGATCATAAAAGTGATATATGGGCGCTTGGTTGTGTACTCTATGAGATGACAACATTGAAGCATGCTGTAATTTTCGAAACCATTTGACGTTTATATTTATTTATTTTTAGTTTGAAGCTGGTAATATGAAAAATCTCGTGTTGAAAATTATTCGGTAAGGTGAAGAAATAATACAAATTCATTCTTATCTGTATTCTGTTTTATTCCGCTGTAGAGGAACTTATCCACCAGTTTCATCAAAATATAGTTATGAAATCAGAAGTTTAATTTCCCAGTTATTTCGTCGGAATCCAAGGTAAAATGACATAAGAAGTAAATTGTGGTAATCTGTTTATAGTTGTCATGTTTGATAACATTTAGCACACTGAATGGTCTGTCCATTTTTCCTTAGACACAACAAACTGAGACTTTGAACAAAATGCGCTTATCTGAACGAAAGTTCTGCAGTTATAAACTGCATTTCTTTAGCGCAAAATCAAGTCAATGGAAGTAGGATTTAAGGGCTGTAAGCAAATCGATGACATATATATAGAAGAATAACGTGATGGTGAATGAAAAGAAAACGAATCAAGAAGACAGGATTGGTTTTCAGTTTACTGAAGATCAAAGAAGGAATAACGTTTCAACATCTCCTTCTGAATGCCAAGTTCACCTTCGATCAGTCTTATTTCGACAGCACCAACTGTGTTGAGCAAGCGTTGGTGAGCTACACGCGGTATTGTACTTGGTGCATGATATATGACATTAAAAACTTTATTGAAATCCATGTGATGGTCTGTGCCTACTAGTTATATTGAGATGGATCTTTTCCACACTTTCACTTCATCTTTTGCGAATCAAGCCGATAAATGTTCTTATATAGGGATAGGCACCTGTCTAATGTTACGTTCTATGTAACTTGTTGCACAGGAACAGCTAAATTGATATATACAGGATAAAAAGCCAAGATCAAGTAGGTTTTTCTTCAGTTTGGGACTGAGTATTGGCTAACCACTGAAACATATGCAAAGATGACCTGCATAAGACGTTCGATTGATTGCTTTAGCTAGGCGTCGTGACAGGATGTCACTCGGAGCATCTTCCTTGAATTTTACTCCCAGAAAAATAGGCATCTTCTCCACTGTCATAGGTTCTGACTTAAGACCAATGTAATAGATGTTAACTTTGAGGAACTTATCCGGATATTAATTTTCACGTAGAGTATCACGGATACACAACAGTTCTTTTTCCACACACTCCCTACTTTGAATAAAGGTGAAACAATTGGGTGTGCTACACTGCACAACAACTGAAGATTTGTAATCAACAGCGTAACAGAATGACGTGAAAATTAGCAGCAGAACGGGCGTTAATGTATTTTTGAAAGATACTAATAAAGAGATATTTATAATTCTGATGAATATCAGTATGACTGGCTTTCAGCTATGACACCTAGGCTCTACAACTATCAATTCTTCTTATCCTGAAGATCTTAACTATGCAGCCTATACTTCTTCGGTCCGCAGCTAAAGCTATCACGGAGTCCTTTCATGACTGGTTCATTTTCATAATCCTATTGCTTTGGACAACTTTTGTAAACAGTCCCATCTTGATCAGCTGTACACATAAAAGCATGAGATGTAACGGTATGCTCAACAAATACCTCAACTATCCCACTTCGTAACGATTAGCAAACTTACTAGGTAGTCCAGTTCATCTATCCATACTTCAGCAGTGCTTACTTGATCGTTGCATCATCACTTGAAAAACATGTAAAACTGAGTTATTTACACTTTCAGCGGACTAGCAGTTAGTAGTAAATCGATGATAGTTAACTGATGTTGAAAATCACTTTTAGATCAATTAAAAAGTCATCATTACTTTTGAAGCAATAGTAAGTAAGATTTGAGCACTTGTAGACTTCTAGATTTTGTTGAAGATCCGCATCGTTCGTGAAGATTTTTATGAAAATCTTTGTACCAAACGTATGAAAAGCTATCTGGGCTATAATAGGACCCTATATAAACCTTCTATAATGCATTGGATGAAAACTTGCATAATCATCATTTTACATGTTATGTTATAGCTTGTAGCCCCCCCTTGTTGACTAGACTGAACTGGTTACATATGGGTTCCCGTGAGGATGCCCCAACATTGCGGGAGTTTCATCTTTATAGGAATTATGGATAAAGGTTAACAGTAGGACCCAGGATGCATGTTTCAACCTGCTTGAGACTTATCAGGTGGATGTACTTTGCTTCAAGCTTACTGATTTTTTCCAATGACACTAAAATCCAGTACACATCACTCACTGTAAGGAGAGTACTCTCTGCTAATAAGTATCAAAAAGGACGAAATGCACGTCCTGAATTTCACTGCTAGCCATTATCCCTCACTACTATCCCTTCTGTATATGTTTGTATAATACTCAGAGGGTCCCATGTAAAAAATGATGGCCAATAATACCATCCATTTGTTCTTAACAAAATATGTAAAAAAGATTAAAGAATACCTGACTGAATGGTTGAAGGTCAAATACTAAGACTTGAACTGTTCCCTACTATCACACATCATGACAATGTATAAACTCTCCCCTGACCCCTTTTTTTACTACTAATACCATACTCTATTGTTTCTTCTTTAAAAATAAACAAAACAAAACACGACAACTTATGAATCATATATTTCTGTAAATTTTTGTTTTTAATTTTAGAGATCGTCCAGTATTAATGCAGTCTTAAGAAAACCATTTCTGTCAAAACGCATTTATCGTTATTTAACAGAAACTGTAAGTTCATTCTCATAAATGAGTAAAAGAAACATTTCATACATTAATTAATGAATTTTTTTTAAAAAGAGTGATAACAGTAAAAAAAAGATTCACAAATTTCACGATCCACTTTTACATTTTTCTGAGTTGTATAGTTGTTCACCTACCACCCAACTGTATTGTCAACAGAATTTCTGTTGAAAACCACAGTATTTTCAGTAGTATATTTGTTAGTTAGATGATACGCGATCTTGCCTGTGGGATGGTTTTCAACAGAAATCCTGTTGACAATACAGTTGGATGGTAGTTGAACAACTATACAACTCAGAAAAATGTAAAAGTGGATCATGAAATTTGTGAATCTTTTTTTTTTAACTGTTATCACTTCCTTTTTAAAAGCCAGCCAGCCAGATCAGATCAGAGTTATCTAAGCATCAGACGCCTGTTTTCCTCCTTTAGGAGTCAGGCTTGTCAGCGGTGTACCCAGACAAGTTTAGCTCACAGATTTGAACTAGTTCAGATCACCTGTACCTAGTAAGCTGACGTGCATAGAGCGGTATTGATCAAATCGGATAATCGAATTGCAGACGATTTGAAAATTGCACCAAAGTGACATTTTTGATCATTGATCAGTTGAGCCCCAAAACAGCGAAACGGTCGTCTGGTATTTAGATCACTGTGTATTGCCTAGCGAAAGTTATAGATAAGCGTGAGTGGTTTTAAACTACCCATGTTTCTCAGTAGCATATTTTAATCATATAATAATTCCCATTGTAACATCAAGAACAGCGAAGGGACTCTCTTCAACGAATTTATTTTGTGGGGATTGGTGCTAGATTCTGGTCTTGGTGGGAAAAACATCACTTACTGGGAGGCAGGTACATCTAGCTGACGAGTTCTAAATAGGACGAAAAGCGTGTCCTGGTTTCCAATGCTAGGCAGCATCCACCATTACTTTACGATTTTCATCTTATCTTACGGCGTTTCATAACTATTGATATCATTAATTTCCTTTCCTTATCTTTCTCAGTTTAAGTGATATCTTGATATGCTGATGTATAGTGTATCAAGTAGTTACTATCTGCTCATTTTATCAAATACTCGATGAATTTCATCACCTCAGTGTAGTTTTAATGGTTATCATGTATGTGACTAACTTTTAGTACTCATCAAGCGGATGCTCTTGACATCTGAAGAAACCTCATATGTCTAAAGTACTTCATATAAAATCTTATTGATCTATTAACGGGTAAGTACATCACCATCACCTTGATATGATTATGAACGTGAGGTTGTTCTCCAAACATGGTCTAGAAACATTCCCATAAGCGTAATGAAACTGATACATAAAACAATTAGTCTCTTTCATGAACTTAATAGTGTAGTTAGGAGATCAAAACCTCGCCTGATTAACTAGTTCACTAGTTACTAGCCCGTTCTAAGCCCTTGTAAAGAAGGAAGGCTGGGCGTAGGCTAGCAATCCTACCCCGTAAAAAAATCTAACCGCTAAAGAAACTTCAAAGCACAAAGAAAATATAAAACATAAAAACAAACTCGTTCCTCGCTGGAATCGGAAAGACGAGATGACGCCGGTTGATGAAAGCCTTCGGGAAGCCAATTGGCTGATGTGTCTTCTCTCGATGAAAGCGAAAGTAAACGTCGGGACATGGAATGTCCGCACCATGTTTGAATCTACCAAGGCAGCCCAGATTGCAAACGAGATGAGAAGGTATCACATTGAAGTGCTAGGAATTTGCGAAAGTAGATGGAATGGAAGTGTACTCTCCAAACAGTCAATTGGAGGATCAATAATCTACTCCAATATTGTCACCCACACGACAAACACGAGTACAATGAGTTTTGGAGTGGCTATCATGATGTCCCCAAGAGCATCAAAGGCTCTCATGCAGTGGGAACCAACCTCATCCAGAAGGATCAGGATCATTACAGGAAGATTCAACTCAAAAGGAAGGAAAATCACAATCATTCAATACTACGCACCTACGCTACAAATAATACAGATGAAGAGAAGAAGGATGAATTCTACAATTAACTGAATCACTACAGGACAAGACTCCAGATGGCGACATCAAAATTCTAATGGGTGGGGTGACATGAATGCCGAACTGGGAGCAGACAAAACAGGGAGAGAACTGTGCATGGGTCCACAAGCACTCGGTGAAATGAACGAGAATAGAGAATTGTTTGCAGAATTCTCTGCAGTGTGTACAAACACAAGGATATCCACAAGGCAGCGATATGGATTTCAGCAGACACCAGGACACACTGAAAATCAGATCGACTTGATCTCAATGTGAAGAAAGTGGAGACGCAGCCTACTGGACACAAGATGAAAAAGGGGAGCAGATGTAGGTTCACACCACTATCTAGTGCAAGGAACCTTCCAATTAAGTTGAAAACCTTCATAGAAGTTGGTGATAGACCACAGTTCAAGTTCAACACCCAGAAACTGAAGGATGAAACTAAAAGGGACGTCTTCACGTCAGCCATGAAGACAAAATGGGAGACATTGAGCAACTTCCCTGAAGGGACCTATACTGAAGAGCACTAGGACTCTTTGAAAGCTACGTGGAAAGAAACCTGCATAAACATACTAGGAAGGAAGAAGAAGAAGAAGAAGAGGCAAGACAAGAATGGATCTCAAACGACACATGGAAGCTGATAGAGGAGGGAGAGGAATGTGGTGAAGCAGAAGATGAACCAGTGCAAGGATGCACAACAAAAAGACGAACTGAGTAACACGTATAAAACACTGCACTGGACAAAGAAGTGAAGAAGAGTGCGCGTACAGACAAAAGATACTTCTACGACACATTGGCAAGTGAAGCAGAACAGTCTGCAGGTAGGAGAGACAGAGACCTGAAAACATTATGTCAAATAACCAGGTTACTATCCTGTGAGATCAATGTAGATGAAACCAATGAAAGATAGCGAAGGAAAGCTAATTACCAAAGAGGAAAAACAAAAAACAATAGGCTGACCACTTCAAAAAGCTCTTGGATCGACCACCACCACAACCTGCAACTCGTCCAGAAATACCACTTGCAGCCCAGCCACAGAACTACCAGTAAACACAGGCCCTCCAACAAAAGCAGAAGTCCTGAATGTCATAAAACTGCTGAATCGGCAAAGCAGCAGGACCAGATAGATCCCGCCAGAAGCACTGAAAACAGACGCAGAGACAACAGCAGACATGCTCACACCACATCACTACTGCAGAAGGTGTGGAAGGAAGGGAAGGTACCTGCCAGTTGATTGGAAGAAGGGCTACCTTGTCAAACTCCCAAAGAAGGGAGACCTAAGCTTTGCAAGAACTGGCGAGGAATCATGCTGCTGTCCACCCCAAACAAGCAATATATTAAGCCGTATCATCCTGTAGAGACTAAAGGATGCCCTGGATTCAAAACTATGACCGGAACAGGCTGGATTCAGGAGTACAGATTATGTGCGGACCAAATTGCAACGCTATGCTACACAAAATCATAGAACAGAGTATAGAATGGCAGTCAACTCTCTAACTCAACTTCATCGACTTTGAAAATGCCTCCGACAGCGTCAACCGAGAATTAATTTGGCAGTTGTTTCAACACTACGGAGTGCCACTAATCTTTATCAACCTCATTCGACAGCTATATGAAGACGCCACATGCCAAGTGATTCACAATGGGAAGTTCACTGACACCTTTGAAGTGAAGACAGGCGGGAGTAAGACAAGGCTGCCTACTTTCACCCATGACCTTCCTGGTTGTGGTTGACTGGACTGGACTGAATCATGCAGCAAACCGTGAGGAGCGAGAAGAGGGGGATATGCTGGACTGATGGAAGAGCCTAGAAGATTTGGATTTTGCCAATGATTTATGTCTCATGTCGCACAAACTCGAATGTCTGCAGGCGAAAACTAACAAGTTGACAGAAGAGGCGAGGTAGCAAAAACGGGACTTCAAGTGAATGTAGAGAAGACGGTGGTGAAGATACGCAACCAACAACAGCATGAACAACAAGCACCAATCACCATCAGCGGGAGAAACCTAAAAGAAGTAGTCTCTTTCACCTACACCTACCTAGGCAAGGCAGTATCGTTTCAACTACAGGCGTCAAAGGCAGGATCGGAAAGATAGCAAGACAGGCTTTCATTAATCTGAAATCAGTGTAGAGATCTACTGCACTCAGCACAAAGAACAAGATCCGGATTTTTAACACCAACGTCAAGTCAGTGCTCCTGTATGGTTCAGAGACTTGGTGTGTTACGAAAGGGATTTCCAACAAACTACAGACTTTTATCAACAGCTGCCTATGCTGGCTAGATACTGAAGATCAGATGACCAGAAAAATAAGCAACAAGGAACTCTGAGAACGAGTCAACGAAGCAAGAACCTGTTACCCAACAAATATGCAGAAGGGAGTGGAGATGGATTGGACATACACTAAGAAGGCCGACTGGGGACATCATGCGCCAGGCCGTCAAGTGGAATCCAAAGGAAAAACGACGAGTTGGGCGTCCGAGGGTGACATGGAGGAGATCATATGAGGAAGGAACGAAAGCTTGTGGGCAGTTGTGGTGCCAGGTTCAAAAGACTGCCTAAGAGAGAGCGCAATGGAGGTGTGTTACTGAAGCCCTATGTTCCACTAGGAACTCAAGGGAAAAATAATAATAATGGTTAGAAGACCAAGTTTTACTGAACAATGTACGAAGTATTTGCGCAATACATTTTGAACAGTCTGATAACACTCTTACTTGTCAAGCTAATTTACATAAAACCGAAGAATGGAAGGACAAATAGGATAATTAACACAATAGGGGATTAAAAAAGAACAAAAAGGAAGAGTGACAGTTGGTCTTAATCTTGGTAAAAACGAATTTTATCGAGGTAAATGTAATGTAAGAACAAACTGCTTTTGTATACATAAAGGTGGTTTCAATTAGTGTATGGCTGTCACTTCCGCAAGTATCTCAGCTTCAGTTCCTGACTGTTTCTACGTACAACTTTCATAGCTGTGTGAACAATAATTTTGTGACCATTTTCTACAATATGAAGAGGGTTGTTTCCCACCTGCGCGTATCAAAGTTTTACACTCCATTTGCTTTTGAAGCCACTTTGGTACATGTTCTCCACTCTTACTGCATGGCTCAATTACTCCTCTCTGTGTTTATGTGACCACACTTGCACATGTAAACTGGTAAACGCAATGGGATGTGACGTAATCATTGATGCATTGTTTGGGTTTGTGGTGAAGCGGGGACTTATTGAGTTCAGGTTGATATTCATCATGGACTGACATCATCTAATGAAGCACTGGTAACCTGGCAGTACTAGACAACTGTTTCGTCCTAACGCGACTACTCAACAGTTCACACCCATGACCCCAGCAGGGATCAGACCTTGAACCTTCAGGTTCCACAGCCAGCGCGTTACCACTGAGCTCCACATATAGCGCGAACTCTAGCCAATGCCGACAGTCACGAATTCTCAACAAACTCCAACTGATATCACTCCATGGTAAATATCAGCCCGAAACTAATAGTTAAACCCCCATAAACCTCCAAAATGAATTAATCGGGTGTTCATCAATGACTTACTTGGAGATGAGATTCCGGAAGTTCTAATGAGAAGTCGTGATCAATGAGGCTAAGCAAGTCATATTTGAGGACAGTTACTGGCGATGGCATTGGCTGAAGGCCGCGCCATATCGTGAGCTGATAGAAGTTGAAATGTGGGCCACTGGATGCCGAGCGAGTGGCTCGTCGGTAACGTGCTGACCGTGGAACCTGAAGATTCTAGGTTTGGTCCCTGGCGAGTTCATGGGTGCGCTGTGACGTAGTTTCTCATACTAAGACGAAATAAATGCTCAGCGCTGCCGGGTTTTCAGTGGTTCTCAACTGATGTCCGTCCATGATGAACATCAACCTAGAACCATATTGTTATCATCGAATATCATATTTTCTATCTCATGTATCCTTTATTTTCTTATTTTTAAAGGAAATGGCCGAAGAATTCAGTCATACAGTGCTACATCGACATTCTAAACGAAAATTGACAAAGCGTCAAACAATTCAAGTCCAATGAATAAACGTCCAGCTGGTATCTTCAACTTGAAACATCCACATCTTCATCAGCAGCAGCAACAACCTTCAGTAGTTAAAAAGTCGAGGTTAAAGTACGTTGTTTTTCATTGTATAGAATGGCAAGTTCTTTTAAAACTATCCTATAGTCAATAAAAATATGATGGGTAATCTGCTTAGACTGGCATTTCGACTCATACTGAAAGGAATTATAGATACATGACACTCTGGAGTTTTAGGACTCACAGGAAAGATTATGAAACAGTATACAGTCCTCACCAATTATTTGACTGACACCAATTTGAAGGTTTGTCGGGATTAGTTGATTTTAACATGGTATTTTATCACTGACTGACATTAATGAAAGAACCATTGAAACACTGGAGCAATCTACTGATGTTTCATCTTAGTATGGGTATCTTTTACAGTGTGTAATCACAACTGAATCGGGATTGAACTTAAGATTGTGAGGTCTTGCAGAGAACTCATTTGTTGAATCAACAACTTTGAATTTTATCAGAACTCTGAAAAACTGACAGACTCTGAGTTATATTGAGTGTTGCGTAACAGTATTTAAAAATATGACACCGGAAAATGTTAGCTGCCTTAGAATCTGAGTACTTCAAGCCTCATTTCGGAGGTTTTTCCAGAGAAGTCCTATAATAAGATGAAACCACAGTTAAAAAACAGTATGATATGCAGCAATTTAAGCCATTTATATACCCCAAGTAAAACTGTTGCAAGTACCAATAATGGCCTGCTAGTGCACTCTAGAAACTTGTTAACCTGTAAGTTTATAAGATGGTTAATCAATACATTTGTAATAAGAACTTCCATTTACGAATTGTAACACTTTAGTGATTCAGTAGTATAAACTTGGTAGCTGAATGTTGCCAGTAAACTAAGCAATACCATAGTTCAGTGTGGGAAACTCAATTAAATCTCGTTTATATTACAAATATTTTTGGCTACTGTCAGATGTTAGGGTTCGATTACCAAGGAGCCCTGGACCTAGACTTGCTGCTTGTTCACACTCATCTCCAAGGGATATCTGCAACCATGAAGAATTGATGTTCCTTTCAGTGGTCCGAAACTACGTCACTCAATAATGAGTTCACGGAATCTACCACTAAAGTATTTAGGCCATGACTGACCCCTTCTCCGTCAAGTTTGCAATACAGCCACTGACCTAAATGACGTGACACCCACAGTGTATTGTATTTGGATGTTAAGTGTCGTTAATTGGTCACTAGGAACTCCTGGGTCTCTGTTTCGTGCATGAGGGCACTCTTCAGCAATGTATAGCTGCAACTATGAAGAAGCTGGAACCACAGAGGTTCTTACTGATTGACTTACTGCTCACTGGTACGTATATTCTTTACTGCTGTCTGTGAATAAGAACCAGAATAGGTTATCAAGAAATCCAGCACAGAAAAATAATGCATCTTGATATCATTATACTTACTATACATACAGAAAGTCGATTCTTAATCGATGGCAATTTATTACGAATAATATCGGAGCACTAAGTTGACTAAGTCTTAGAACTGGTTAACGTATATATTTAGGTTATAATGAGGCCACTTCTTTCAGAAGTTTTGTTGACAAAATGTGTCTAATTAACACTTTGAGTAGTGATAGCTCTAATCTCAGCACAGGCATGGGCATTTAGAAACTGGTACCTTCCACATGAATACGAACAGGCATAAAGTTGGTCTTGGATTACAAACCAGCTGCTTCTACGAACAAAATACCATAAACAAGAAATACATCTATTAAATTTTATTATATAAATGTAACAGTGGATGGAGTAAAGTCTTTCATTCTGTTATGTGAGGAAATCTGGTGAAATTTAAAATTTAAAAACAGTCTGTCCCCTCTAAAAATCTCAATAAGCAATAAGAAGATAGTGTTCATCAGAAACGTGTGTGTAATGTATTAACGCAGTATAGTTCCAACCATCTAGTCAAACACGCACACAATTATTTGTCATACATAGTTATGTGAATTACAACAAAGGATAAATGGATGGATATGATGCAGAGTCGAATTGTTAGTCTAAACGTGAAGAGATATTAATCGCCTTTGATATTTAAGCTGAGTTACCAAAGTATCAGTTTAGTGTAACAACAAAAGAGGATTAAACTTCCTCTTCTCTGCAGCTTCAACAAACCCAAGTATATGTCTTCGATAGGCTTTTTAAATAGACCAGGTAGATAATATTTTGGTGGTTAAAGCGATGAGTACGAGGTTAGAGTCTCAGTGGGAACAAGATCATTCGCTGGAGTGCAGATACATCCAGCTGATGAGTAAGTCCGAAAAAGGACAAGATGCTCATCCTGGATTCTTCTGCTAGACAAAACTAAGTCAACTATGCTCAAATTTGGTTCTATTTTGATATTTATTTTATTAAAGTTACATGTTAATCCAGATGGTTTCTCTAGTCTAAGATGTTACAGACGAAGAGGATTTTTTGAAATCATAACTTTCATATATGAAATTAGGTGGTAGGCATATCTATTTACACTTTGTACATTCAGTGCCAGTATCACAACCTATCAGAATGTAATCAAGGCATATGAATGGCGAGCACGAGTACCTCATTAGTAACGGATCGCTTGACTAACTACAAATAGGCTGCATGTACAAAAAACAAACATCGATAAAATTGGCAATCAACAAGCATTGAGCAATATTTCGAGGACATGTTAATATCGCTATCCCATTCAAAAGGCTACATTGCAAAGGTCTAGGCTTGGTTCAAAAGTGAAATTAATTATTGAAATGAAGGACTCCATAGACTTATGCACTGCAACACTAAAATGATAATGAGATAGAAAGAGAGTAGTGATCATGATATGAATAAAAATTGCTATATGACTGAAAGGACAAATATGTATTACAAAGCAAGTGAAAGCATTCACGAGGACTAGTAAAGAAGGAGACTGATTGCTTGCTTATATTATAATGAGTTGAGAGAAGCCCCATCAGTCCGTTGTAAGTCACAATGACTTCTAGAATGTAACTGCCTGTATACTTCTGTTTACGTTCTGAACTGAAACAGTAAATGGTAACGAAAACTGAAGGAAATATGAAAAAATTTCGAAAAACGTTTGCTCAGTACCTTAACTGTTGAAAACAATCCATGAAATGTATATTGATCTATTTCAGTTGGAGTACTTCATGCTGAAGTGACTGATGAACTAGCAGGTTACAACAGAACTTCTCCAGATTGATGAATATGACGTAATGCGATGAGACTAAAGTTCGGTTTATGCCGAACAGCAATAACTGAAGACTTAATACAGTTAGTCCCCAGTATTACTCTTCAACAAAAAGATGGAGTTTATCCAAAACTTGTGTGTGATGTATTGGTGCAATGCATTCCAAACCATCCGGTCACACACAAACACACTTAGTGGCCATCCATATTTATGTAAATTGTAACCTGCAATAAACGGGTCTGAAAGCAATAGTAGTCGATATAATAAAGAGTTGAATTGTTATTTTACCTGGGAAGAGCAGTATATTAATCACCCTTGGTACTAAGTTTGAGTTACCAAGACACAGTTTTAATGTAACGTTAGATAATAAAAATTTAGCAGGAGGCAATCCAGCGAAATTTTTTTTTCTTTTCAACAAATCATTTTCAAAAGCTGGTTGTATATGCCGCACAAAGTGTGTTCTCTCCAAATGCATCTCTAAACACTATCATCCCGCCTAGCTGTCTAAAGGAGAATGTATGACCATTAACAGCTCGTTTCTTGACCATCTGGTTAACTCTTGTCACTCTGCTCCATAAGAATATTCCCTTAAAATCATTTATAAAGTCAAATCAAGCATTTCAATGGAAGTACGGAACTGCTAACTGAACAGATCAAAAGCTTGGCAATTCAGTAGTTTAAGCCTGAACTAAGCGTTCAAAGAGATACGTTCATCTCTGTTTTTATCTTGGTAGTAATCTTCCTCAGAGATTTTATTTTTTTTCTTTATTTATTGTAAGCTATAAGCAGCTTTTTTGATCATCTTAAGTTCCTAGTCACTTTATGGCCCTATTTATAATTTTGATGATCTTGTGATTGTAACTATAATTCAGTTATGCAGCTTTTGGAAATGATTTGTTGAAAAGAAAATTTTCTTCCCTGAATTGTCGTTTGTTTATTTTTAATATCATGGCAAGCTGTTTTTGAATATATAGATGAGGAATAAATTTCTTTACAGTTGGAGCTTCAATAGACCTAAATGTATTTCCCCAATAGGTTTAAAAATGCATACAAATAAACTTTATGATTCCTTTCAATGAAATGTTTAGCTATAGACAAAGTTGAACGTACATCACCTGGGCTAGTGAAATTATTCGATCTGATTTGTTGTTGTATCCATTCTGGAATGTGCTCTATGGCCCTTACTTGCATAGATCTTTGAGTCCTCCGTATGTATGTGAAACCACTCGTAAATATAAACTGACAAACCCATTTGGATGTTGCCCTTTCGTCCAAATGTTATGAAGGTTTGCTGCAGTATATACGTTTCTTTTTCTCCATGAATCTGACTGTTACTGCATAGTATGCCTTCCTGATGGCTGCCTTAAGTTTTTGTTTAGTTATCACACTCTGTTGTGATTCATATAAATATACCTGACAAATACGTCCATGTGATGAGATTGCTTGAAATGTATTGATCTAATACATAACACACATGTTTCACATCAATTTCATCTACTTACAGCTTTGTCGAAGATGTAAAAGTTGAATTTAAGACAAGTCAAAACTTTCAGAGGGTGAAAATGTCATAATAGTTTCATTCACTTATTCTTCTATTCATGATGAATGCTCAGTATTCATTGACGTTAACAAAAGAACAAAATTAAAATTCATGTTTACATACTATCAGTTAAAATGTATGTTTTCACATCTTCACAGAAGATAAATTTAAGGGAAGCCCAGTTACAAACCTGCCTGGGGAATATTTTATCTAACTAAAACCCAATAAAATTTTGAAAACTATCCTCCGTTGACTCTCTGTGTTTTGCTAGGACTAATCAGCACTGTGAACCCGTATTTCCATGAGAAACTGAAGTCTTTGTCTGTCAACACTAAACTATTCAAACTGTGACCAAATCCTTTTGGAGATGGATTTAATATTCAGCACATAAGTCATTCTTTCAGAAGTAAAAGTTATCACCTCACTGTTCTGAGTTCTGACTGGTCAAACTGTGCAATGGAGACGTTGAACTGAATACCACAGTGAGATGTATTTAACAACGAATAGTATATAAGACATCTATGTATATCAATATAGTTCATTTTAGTTTGCTTAATTGTGGCTAGCAGAAAAATCCAGGTTTCGCATTTCGTCCTATTTAGGACTCGTCAGAGAGTTACAAGGATATTAATAAATAGTGTTAACATTCCATTTTACTTGGTTTATTAGATATATCATAGTGATGTTGATGATGATGATCATATGACAATGGGTAGTAAACTGCGTCCGCAATCTAATGCAGTAAATAATGCTGCTTCGCCATGTGATATATCGAATAAATCAACTAAAATGGAATCATATTCTACCACTGTACCAAAGTCTTCCTCCTATCTCAATACGTGTTTAGAAGAAACTAACAGATTTTTAAATTAAAAGCTTTTATCAATGAAATGTACTTATAAAATCCAAATGAGGTAGAAAAATAAATGTCCATGAAGTCATGAAACACCAGAAATTTATTTTTCTACTTCATTGGAATTTTACAAACATATTTCATTTATAATCCATATACCCAATGCTAAACTTATTCAACTTTAGCAGGTTAAAAGTTTAACTACTGATGAAGAAATCAGTAGTCAAAATGCATTCATATTTTTCAATTTCAGTGATGGGCTTAGTAACAAATTGATGAAAAAAGCAGAAAACAACAATAATAGTAACAATTCACATAGTACAAATTCAGAGTATGGATCTAACGTCGAGAATCATTATTCGATGCAAATCGTAGACGACAAAGGGAATTGATTGAAAAACAACGGGTAAGTAAAGTTTTCCTTAAAAGATATGATGTTGCATTTGTATTTAAGTATTTATTATGCCGAGGAAAAGAGAAATAATTCACTGGAATAGACTTTCTTTATGGATGATTTCATCTTCTAAAGCTGTTTAATGGTATTTATACGTTCAAATAACATATAGTGGTTTATTATTTAAAGAAAGGGTATGGCTCCAACATTAGATAAGTGCTCAAAGATGCAGTAAAGAGTTGAAAGCAGTTATGCAACAATCTATCACTCCACCAGTTCATAAAATCCCTGATTATTGATCTTGGACGCATATAAAGGTGTAGAATATCTCGCTGGGGTCGCTGAGACGACAGGAATCAGTGGCTGAGAACTCTTGATGAAATGGCTAAAAATCAGTCACAATGACGCAGACGTATTCATTCTTTAACGCCTTCTAAGGCTTAAACATTTGATCAACTTTAATTTTTAAATCCCATCTCCTTCTATACACCTTTTCCTACTTTGATATCAGTTTTTTCTATCCACTTGTTCTTTGTATACTACTGTGGGATGTGGTAGCCTGCACCGATACACTTGTGTATGAGATTCTACTTTCATTCTGTCGATCTGTCTCTCGAAAAGTTCAAATCAAAATAAAGACAAGGAGTTTGACAACGTTGAAATTGTTGGTGGGTTAAAAATGCAATAGTTGAGTATCCACTTGATGAATGTTAAGGCGGTGTTGAAATAAACAAGGGGTCATATGGAAGGTGATAGTAGTAAACTGATTAATTATGACAAAATTGAAAATAGGGAGGGAAAAATGAGGGGAAAAACTAATGTACGATAAGTGACTGAACATACTTATTCTGGGTGCAGAAATCGGCCTTGAAACAGTGAATTGCCAGTCTCTCTGCTATCTAAAACTATCGAAAGTGCACTCCTTTTGAGCTGTTCCTTTTGACTCTACAGATGATAATGAAGGACATTTGTGGTGGAGCTATTGTCCAGAGTTGAAATGATAATTGTTTTGCATCCACCCTCAACAACCATGTAAGATAATGCTTAGAGATACGTTTGAAAAATGTACTCTTTGCATGGCCTATATTACTGCTCTCAAATTGTTATGTAAACACTTCTTTTTGGTAAACGTATGCAGTCATAATGATAATTTCACATGAAATAGGCCGTAGCGATTTGTGATTACTCCATTTGTATCCTCAACAGCTCTCTCTCTCCCCTCTCTGTCTTTATCAGTAATTTGTTCAAATGATATTTACGGTTGTCAATAATTAATATTGAAGACAGTTCCAATGAACGATGAAATACAATACAGTTTTCTCGTCCTGTTGTTTTGCATCTTTCCCTCAGTAAACAGTCTATCAGACTTATTTTCTCAACCGTAATGTATTTTTCACCGAGCATGCAATTCCTATCGGTCAGGGAGACAGACACACAGAAAAAAAATCAAAGTAGCACACAACATACAAGTCCATCGGTTCACGTTGCTACACTTCATAGTACCATGCCGGAGACTTGTGGATAGAAAAAGACTGATATCAAAGTACACAAAGCTGGGTGAGAGAATAAGAAGTTTGAAGATAACGGTTAATGCATATATTCAAACTTTAGATGTCACAGTGAATACATCTACACCACTGTGATCCATTTTCAACTTTCTCATAAAGAGTCCTTAACCACTGGTTTCTATCGTTTTGGAGACCCCAGCCAGCCAGGTAGACTACATCTCCAAAAAAAAGCTCACGCCAACAGTCAGGGGCTTCATACACTGGTGCCACTGCTTGGCCTCGTCACTTTGATGCCTCTTCCAACCCAATTTCTATCATGGCACATCCAGATAGGCGGTGGATCAGCATATGCAGTAAATGTCCAAGCTATCTCAGTCGACTAACGTTCAAAACCTCATCAATCGAGTTGCATTCCTTCCCTAGTACCCTCCGTCTGACTTTAATGTTGCTCACACGGTGATGCCACGACTTGCGAGGAATGCTACGAAGACGTCTGATACCAAACCATGCAATTGCTCCATATCTTCTACTTTTAGCAGCCATGTCTTATAGCCGTATAACAGGACAGAAAGGACTGGTGTGAGGTATACTCATCTTTTGATAGATAGTCGGATACGATACAAATCGGTATTAGAGATGATCCTAGTCGATAAGTGCCAAACGAACCTTCCGTGTCGGAGATGATATTTCGTCGGCAATTAACCCATTCGGGTCGATTCAACTGCTCAAGTAAAAGAAGTGGTGGACACATTCCACCACTTCACTCCTTTCCATTAAACTGAGAGTAATTGCAGCAGACTAGTCCTGGAGCATGATCTTAGACTTGAAAGTTGTCAGCAAAAAGCATGTCGAAAATAAGTGAATTTGTGATCAACGCGTTCAAAAGACTGATTTTCGTCAGCATCTTCACCAAGCGAGACAAGTCAACCAGATCACCTTCAGGAGTAGATCAATCTCTTACGACGTCAGACGTACCTAAGGCTATGCCCATTAGTACGTGTATAACCAAGTTAAATTATTCTACTTGGACCTGTATGAGATCGAAAGTGGATAATAATTTGAAGATTATAATATTGGTGAAACGATCATTACGTGCGTTCACTTTTATAGAAAACTATTTATTGAAATAGCTTCATTTTATGATGATTAATTGGAAATAATCAGTCTGAACACAACAATAGCTAACCAGTGGCTTCAATATAAACAGGGAGACAGACATACAAACAAAATCAACGTAGAACAAACATAACATACAGGCGCATCGGTTTACGTTACCGCATTTCACAGTACCATCCAGGGATATCATTTAACCGTAACTACTTTTGATCTTCAATACAAATCCGAATATTCTGCTGAAAAAACTATGGTATGCACCACGAAACACTCAGAAAAATCTTATTTCGATTTTTTAAACGCATTAGAATTATATTAAAACTTACTTGTCTAAAGATTAAATCAGTTTCGATGCTCAACTTCTTCCAGGACGTTCGTAATAACTGTGGATTAGATATTTATAATATTTACTAGAAACTTGTTTGCTTCTAAGTGGGAAATATCAATAAAACAGGGCTAATTAAGTTTAGAGATTTGAGGGGTATCAGTGATTCCAGTATGGTATACATCATTGATTAACATCAACTAGAGAACTACTGAAAACCTGGAAGCACTGGATAGCTGTTTCGTTCCAGTATGGAACTCCTCAGCAGTGTGCAACCACGACCCCGCAAGGGATCGTGAGTGAAAATCCAATTTTTGCTCTTGATGAATTTCTGATATCAATCTTTCTATTTTTGCTGCTTATTTGAAGCTTGTGAACTAACTTCATCAACTTGGCCTAGGGGATAACGCTTTTGCATTTCAAGCGTTGGGCAATGGGTTCTAGTCTCCATGGGAGCAACACCACCCACTGGGGTACGTGTACATTCAATTCATGAGTCGCAAGTAGAACTAAAAGCGCGTCATGGATTCCACTGTTAATCATCAAGATAAATAAATTAACATTGTTTACTTTTAAACTTCACATGGAAATAGTGTAACTTTATAGTGAAACTTACCTAGCAAATTACGCGACGGAAATGGACCCACTCATATATACTATTCTGAAGTCATTGAGTGATTCGCTGTTGACAGTCACTTCAGCCGTACTTATTAGGGCATTAAACAACTTGATATCTTGATCTATGCATGTACCATATTCATGAAAGGTATAAATTCTCATAACTAAAATAAGCTTTTAAGCTTTCCATACCTGTCATTGGGGGCGGAAAGTAGTTTCCACAGTTACCTGATTCAACGTTTATATGAGGTTATTTGGCTTAGCAAGTTATACAGATTTTGTTCAATTTAAAGTTTAAATTATGATATGTGAAATCACTTGTTTAATAAATACACTGAAATCTATGTGGTTTTCATCAGAGACGATTTCGATGAAAAGTTCACACAGTCTGCTACTTGAGACCACCAATACGAAAATAATAATGAACAGACATAGAATGTGTCTCTGTTAACTGATACTGAGATAGATCTGATAAGAATCAACATTTATCTGCCACTAGGCACTAACAGATCAGTTTGGGAACCATTCAGTGGTTGACGAGTTCCCCGTGAAACCTGAACGTCTTGAGTTCGATCTCTAGTAGGGTCGCGGGTGCGTGCTGCTGAGGAGTCTCATACCAGGACAAAACAGCTATCAAGTTCTTCCAGGTTTTTTGATGGTTCACTAACTAATATCACTCCATGATGAATACTACCTCAAAGTTGAAAATTCGTTAGTTAATGACAATTTTGTGTCTGAGTTCACACTTTGTTATATTGGCTGACATGGTAGCTCCCCACAGAAACTCTGTTGATCGCAAAGTTAAGAAGTTGAAAATCTACTCAGGTCTTAGGAACAGCGTGGATAGCAAGTCACTTGCCTAATTGGTCGTTCTATTTATGGTAGGATACTGGTTCATGCAAGTCACCTAGCTGAATTCAGATGATTTGAACTAATTTGGCTCTATGAGCTGAATTTGTCACGGTACATCACTGATCACCTTGGACCCAAACAAGCAAAACGGTCGTATGGTGTTAAAATCACTTTGTTCTGGCTGGCTGGCGAAATGTACATATCAGTCTGAGTGATTTCCATATACTGAAGTTATTTAGTAGTATATTTCAATGTTTTTATTATCATCAGTTGTATTTTCTCAATATACACGATCTAATGCTCCGTTGGACTTCTGTTCTCCTTCACATCACTCACTTATCAGTTTCAATACGCGTGTATTTTGAAAAAAAGACTGTTTTACGTTATATTTTTCTGTAGAAAATTCCTCTTATGATTTATCTACACTATGTATTTAATTTCGATGTTAAGCACAGTACTTTTCATACAACGTTCGTAAATTGAACTCAGTGTCATCCACATTTGAGTGCACATAATCCAAAGTATATTGAGTACATGGATGTATTGAATCAGTAGCCATATATAATTCCACACAGTCTACGTGTACAATATATTTTTCAATGTATTCAACCTCAGAAAAATTTTATATGAGATTGTTTTTTTTATATACCACATAATGTTATAAGTCCTAACAAATTTTTAATTGGCGGTAATTGAAAAATACCTAAGAGAGAATTCAAATCCTTGTAGTGTTGCTATATAATGAAGGCACATTGGAAATGCTATGTAGGATACCCAACAATGCTGTGTTTAGGGTGGCATTGAAACCCACAAACTGGTTCAGAGACAAACTTCGTAGGCTACAAAATCGAATAGAGTCAATTAAACAATATAGCCTAATCTATTAAGTATCTACCATGTAATGATTGTAAGATCAAGTATGTAGTCCAAAGCTACCGATGTAGGTCAGTCAGGATAGCAGAACACAAAAGTTTAACGAAACACACAATGGTAGACCCTAAGAAGATAAGTAATCTGGAGAAAACCTTGAGCATTACTCTGCATGCTCTTATCCATAATCAAACAACAGATTGGGATAGGGTGACAATTCTAAAATCCATTGCACTAAAGCAGAGGGAGATGTGGTTCACAGAGTCTTTATTCATTGAATCGACACCTAGCACAGGTAAAACAGGAATAATTCATCATCGCATATTGCAGTTATCTGAAAAAGTTTACTACCAATAGAATAAAAGAATGGAAAACTTTGGGACTATGTAGTGAGTAAATTTTGAGCTTCGTATGATTACTTTGAGATATGGTGGCTGAGGGATAAATTCTGTTGAGCAGACTAAAATGGAATCACAATCTACCAGAGTGCCCGAAATTAATGAAACATTTAGTCTTTCTGTTCCAAAACTAATCAAAAAATTCACGCCACTTTCACACACAGAAGGCAGATACACAAACTAACGTATATTTAATGTCTTAGAAATCAAATCATTGTCGAATATCTACGTCTTTGTGCACCAGTTCTAACAGACAAGGTTAAAGCATCTATAGAGATTCAGAGAATGGTCCAAAAGTTGCGCAACATCAAGAATTATACCGAAGAATTAAAATGTAAGCTCACCGAATAGTCGGTGACAAGATTGTGAGCTTCTGATAGATAGTTGCAACAAAGCAAGTTCGGCTGCTTTCAAGAAATCTAAAACTACTCAAATTAAGAAGTTTAACAAACGTATAGAACAAAAGTATACAGTCGATAATAATGAGATTTCAGACAATTAAAAATTCCAATTTCATATATTAAAATTTATATATGAACGGAGAATATTCTTTTCAATCACTTCTCATCAGGTTCTACAGTTATAAAATCAATTTCGTCGACATATTAATAGCCAGAATTTACAGCGAATGTATTTTAGAGTGGGTATGGAGTTATGATTAAAATTTGATTCCTTGACCTTGTAGAGATTGGTGTAATTTATATATGTGTGTAAATTTTGTCAATTGATTGGTGACCAGACATTTGGAGAATACAAATTAATAATAAAGTTCAAGGCTGCACATTGAGTGATTAGTACAAAGAATGATGACATGAATTTATCTAAGGGTAGAAATGGAGTGGATATGTCATCCATCATAAGATGGTTATTATGTGAAACGACCAAGATAATTAGAGTAGTGATAATGGGAAAAAGGGATTTTAACAGGAATTTCAAATGTTTATTATACCGAAATGGTATCCTGCCTATCACCACGCTTTCGCAGTATTATTATTATAATTATGATCATTGCGAATTTCTTCCCAAGAAATTCGGAACCAAAAAGAACAAGCGACTTCTCAACAATAAACCAAACGTTCCAGTTGCACGTAAAATCCAAATCACGGGATTTGTTTGAAATATGGTTCTATATTGATAAACAGTATTTATTTTCTCACCCCTTATCTTCATGAATTTTCATATAAATACCCATGACAATTATGTGTGTGGTCAGATAGTTCGAAATGTGTTACGCAAATACATTACACGGTTCAGACAATTTACGTTTTCTTATTGTTTTGTCGAAGCAATATTGAGTAGTGAAATGCAAACTTCAGATTGTTAGATATCTGTGGGTTTGTTGCCTTCAAAGCACTTGCAAAGAGTGGATCAACATTAAAAACAACAAGGCTGTGTCCAAGCAACCGGAAGGGAGTATAAAAGACACGCATTAGTTCTCACGGTGAGGTAAATATTTAAGGTAAAATAGAACATCAGAGAACAAAGAAAGAGATTACAAGAGTATCATGAACTATAAAAGATACTGATATCTATGGTTGTTAAATTGTGGACAAGATATAATACAACAGAATGGACAGCCAAGACTGCGAGTGAAGCAATATTATAAGGGAACATGAACTATACTACTTAAAAATACTAAGTAGTATAAAAGTTAAGATAAAAAAGGTAGTAAAAGCGATCATCCCGTAGGGTAAACGAGCATAAGTAAGAAAGGAATTAACAGTTATTATTATTATTATTATTTAAGTATCAGTATATCAGGGTCTTGTAGTGACCGTTGCTTTTTCCATCTTATTCAATAATTTAGTTGGAGGCAAGAAACAGAATAAGAGAACAAGGTTGGAAGCATTTATTAGATTATTCACCTGCATGCATTACACCTATAGTAAATGAAAAGAACGCGGTGAGTAGTTTGAATCAAAATTAACCTTTGATTTCTCATCTTTAATATACGTCTGAATAATGTTCAGAAGCGTGAAAGAAAATCAAACACTAGTGACTCTAAAAACCATTCTGGTAAACTGTTGAAATAACCAATAAGCTTTATTCAATTATCTGTTTATTTATTTATGAAAAAGCCCACTTTCTAACTGAAATAAAGAAAAAAATGTTGATGCTATAGCTTGTGAATCTCCTTTGTTGATTGGACTTAATTGATCGGGTACTATTGTTAAATGGGCTTCTATTCGGATGACTCATTACTGTCTGTATTTTCAGTTTTGATTTTACTAATGAAATGGTAGGTAGCAGTGAAATCCAGGATTCACGTTTCGTCTCATTTTGCGGCTCGTCAGCTGGATATCCTTCCCTACCAGTAAGTAGTGTTATTCGCACTGATTCTTGAGCCGTGGACTGATCGCTTCTAACGCTAGAGTTTTATCCATTATGCCACTGAGTCACGATAGCCACTTCTTATGCGATAAGTATGATATAGTTTTCTTGATATCATAGCTTTTGAGTTGGTTTTGGGCTCGAGTCTCAGTAGAAACAACACCACTCATTAGGATGTAGGTACATTCAGCTGACGAGTCCCAAGCAGGACGAAACACGTGTCCCGGATTCCACTGCTAGCCACTATCTGTCAGTAATATCAAATCTGAAAATGCTGGCAATATCAAGGCATCATCCACCCAGGAAGCCATATGCCAATAGTGGCCGATCAATTGAGTCCAATAAATGATGGCGATTCACAAGCTCTCATGTCAAAAACTGTTATCTTTAGTGTCTGAAGAAAAGTTATTATAATGGCTAGTAGTAAACCTCTATACATACGGGCACAATTTAGACGTGATATGTCCGGAGAGATATCAACTCATAAAGTATGCAAATCAACTCGAAGAACTTTGAATGCTGAAAATTTTCAAAATATTCATATTCCTTGTGTCTATTGGTGACACCAAGATTGAAAAATGAATTTCTTAGACTGGTCAGTTCCTATAGTGCTCATCAGTTCATTTGCTCCTATGTGCTCACAGCACGGTTAAGTGAAGGTGTATTAAAGATCATTAGAAGCTACATTTTAGAGCTGTTCAGTCAAAAAATCATGCAGAGGATATGAATAAGTCATTTCCCATTATTTGTCAAGTTCTTATCACCTTACCAAAACTCAACTGGCTCTGAATCCTTTCTGATACAGAAGCAGCAGCAGTCAGCATTAAACCACTCGAGTTACGTGTTCCAAAAAGTAATTATTGCTGCTACAACTACCATGACGTCATTCGAGATTGATAGATGTCATACTGTGGATATTCTCTCATTTCTATAATCTGAAATATTTCCCCAACGTTTTCCTAAAGTATTTGCTGTCTGACATGAGTAGCATTTTATTGAGCTATTATTCATCTAATTGTCTCTTTGTTTACTGCGTCCTATTTTCATGCATAACTGGCCATTTTTTAAAATCAAACTATATCTGATATTATATCAATTTAAATCACCTATATATATATATATATATATATATATATATATATATATATATATATATATATATATATATATATATATATATATATATATATATATATATATATATATATATAACCAAGGATACACCACATGTATTATAGATCTGTATGATGTCAGAAATACATGAAAAATGGGGGAATAATCCTCATCACACCACATAATAAATGAATTGGAGAATGTAGACAGTGGGAATCTGATTCCGAAGTATCGAAATCAGACGTTTCCATAGTACAACCAGACGGATTTCAGTTCAGTACTGAAAAGAACCACTTGTTTCCCATATCTACTCATCGAACACAACGACAGTCTTTTTTTAAATGAACACATGTATGTGGGTTTTCCAAATTTATTGTACTTTTATCTTTTCAGGTTAATATAATCAATGATAACCCGAAAGCAAAAGATACTTTCTTCAAGCCAGTAATCAATCCAATTAGTCAGTCTGTTGAATCCGATCCCCCGTCATCACCAAGTATGATCGTAGCAGAAGCTTTCGTGAAATATAAACTAGAAAGAGATCGTATACAACAAATACATTGTTCTAAAGATTATGAGTACATAAGAAATGATGCCTATAAGTGTAAGTTTGTTTATTAAAATGGTGAATTTTTGAAGAGAAGGAGAGGTAATTCAAGGAAGAAAATATTCTTTTTTGATTATATCATATTCTTATGGCACATAGCCGTACTTCTGTTTACTATCGGTTTGACTATCTAGTGAAGCCGTGGTCTTATAGACTTGTATCAACGACCCTTGTTGATGCTTGAAGGTCTTGTCAGGACTCGAACCAACGGCCCCAAGGTTACATACCCTGTGATCTACCAAAGGGGATATGAGACCCATCTGGGCAAAAGGGTAGGTCAGAGTAACGAGATAGTAACGCATCACGAATTCAGGCAAAACTCCTGGTGATCGGAGTGAAACTAAGATCTGGTTTGCACCTGGGTGTCGTAGCTCAGTTAGTGGAATACTGGGCTTGTAGTCCAGTGGCCAATGGTTCGAATCCTTCTGCGTCGCAGATTTCCAAGATCGAACTAAGCCTGAGTGATGGTTAGTCACTTTCGTGTGCACCAGTCACTTAGAATTGAGTATTTGCAAGACAATCTAATTCATAAAAAAATGGTATTTTATTTACCTAAATAATAAAGATATCTAAATTTTCAGTAGGTTTATCATCTTTGCAATTATACCATTTCTTTATTGTGTGTCATTCATATGAGGTCATAACATATCTTTTCGTGATCCTAATACAGGTTTTAGAAACCTGTTAAGATGACTCCACATTTTTCCCACGTTGTTTATCTTCACTCGAGTTGTCCGATCAACGAAGTGCTTCTTCCAGATAGTGGTTTATACGACTTTCAATCATATGTGTATGTTGTGGTATCCGATATTACCCATTTCTCTATGACTGGTAGGACAGATTATTCCGACCAACTCTTTATTCACTGGAAACGTACTTTCTTCATATTTCGATCATACATACCAAGAATATACGATTCGTCAAGACATATATATGTAACTTACCAAGTCCTGTTTAATTCGTCTTCCTCGGTTATATTTACGTTTGCGAACAAGACGTTCATCTGTTTCAAGCACATTACCTTCTCCACCAAACTTCACATCCAAGCTGCATATTGCATCGGAGCAAGCATCTCTTTAGTGCTGATGCTACCGCACCAACATCTGTCAGACCTCTTGCTGATGTTACAAGTGTTCCAACAATCCATTGTGGTGCTAAGATTATTATTTGTTGGAGAATAAGATGAGATCTTTTGAAAAATGATCTTGTTCTCGAAGATTTCTTCTTGTAAAAGGTGGGATAACAAAATTAGAAACGGTCCTTTTTGTCATTCTTAGGTACGCAATCCATTACAAAACTACATTCCCAACCCAGACTTCTGGCGAGCATCGAAACCTCTGAGAGTAACCTCTGACGTAATTTCCGTCATAATTCATCAAGTTTATTCAGCATCACTAGCATCGTAAATAGACGTAGTGAATGGCCTTGAATTTAGGTGTCTCGAACGTGATTGGTCGCCGTCAAGGTTTCCTGTCACTAAAGTTTAGCTCTGCCTTTTCATTTCACCTACGACCATCACTCATTATCAGTATTTACAACTATTCACATGTACATAATAATAATGGTCATCATATTCGCAACAGTATGTATGCTACATAGTGGAATCTTCGGCATTTTGTATTTCAACATATTTACAAGTTTGGTAATATTTTTTGAGCGAAATAATCATGGCGTCTCAGTAATGTTAATAACTAACAGTATCACAGGCAATAATGATAAACAATCAGAAGTTGTTAGCTTATCGTTTAGTCTGAAAGAGGAATGTTTGTTGGTAGTGGCTGACACATTCAGTACGAAAACCTGAAATTCGAGCTAGCTATTACATGAATAGCATTATGACGTTTTCTTTTATTCCATTGGTAAATGTATAGTGTTGTAATGACCGAATCACGCAAACCTGAAATGACTCTGAACCGCCAATTAGAATGCTAGGACATGAGAAAGGCATTAAAGGGCTTATATAAACGTATGGATAAATGCACGAATTACTTATGTGACATTTTTGGGCGACATATTAAATGAAAGTGTTCCAGCTGTACACAAATGTGTCAGTAGATAAGTTAAATCAACTTCAGTACATAAATTTATCCAGATGGTTGGAGATAATTTTATTCAGGGACTATGAACTGATCTTATTGTTTTTAAGTAGTGACCTAAATGTTTCGATGGAAGTTGTGTGTGTCTCTGTTAGGTGGTCTACGGAGTCAAAGATATGGTTAACCGCATGATGCGCTAACCGAGAGCGCTTAATCACTGCTAGGTATCCCACTGGTCTGTGTGAATTATTGTTCCAAGAAGAACTAAATGTTACATAGTTGGAATGATAACATTGATGCTTCGGTTATCGATTCTTTGCATAGACCTAATTGCTTGAACAAGTCCTTGCAAAGCGTAGTCAGAGGGTATAAACAGAACTTTTTCAAACATAATTTGGATTTACAAAAGAAGATACCTAATGACGAATTCAATAAACAACGACAATATACCATCACGAAAAGATTTCCTTATGTGAAAAATGGAAAAACGGAATATATCGCCATCAGTAGCTTCCTTACGCCTCTGAATAGTAATATTTTTAACGAATTGGCAAACTTTCTACCTTACAATTAACCCGTTAACATATGAACGTATTATTTGCATGTCGTTCATTGCTAATAATCTATTAGATAGCCCATCCATAAAGTGACTGGTGGTTCAAGGTCACTAAAGTGTTCGTTGAATTCGGTCGTTATTCTTTAACATCACTATTTCATTGCTAACTCGCAAAACAACAAGTTGAAAATATTTTAGAAATGCGCTAGATTAAATGATAATGTTTAGAAGACTTACTTTAAAGATTAAAACAAGTTGAAGTTGATAGTTTAATATTCAAGTAGGTCGTTAGTTATAAAATTATGGAGTAAAGTTACTTCATTAGAGTAGCATTCAAGAATTAAATGTAGAGACTGGTTTTTAGGGATGGAAGAAAGTTGCATAATAATCTGTAAGACGATGCTGGAAACTAGGAAGGCAGGTAAATTGCTCGTAGTCAAGAAGCGAGATAGCTGGTTTCCCAGTCGATAAATTTAAAGAAGGACAAGACGAACAAAGGACATAATGAAAATGATAACAGCAAACTGATTAATTGTAATTAAATTAGACAAGGATTAAAACGGTGACAAGAAAAGAAGTTGATTATACCACTTCTGTGAGTAGAGATCAACCTTGAATGGATGAATTGTCAATACTTCTACCGTGCACAAGTTTTAAAAACGCATTTCGTTTAAACAACCACCTCCAACTGTGTTGATAAGATTGAAGTAGAACTCCGATAGAAAAGTGTAACCAAAGTTGATCAAATATTCAAGAATCGAACAAGTGATTGACTTGCACTCTCCTCTCAACAACAGTGCCGAAGACTATCTCGAGATACATTTGGAAGGTGCATGCTTTGTGTGCTTAGTGAATGAGTTTCTAGTCAAATCATGTTAGTCAAGTAAAGTTGAGGCAATTTAAATGAGCTGCATCTGAATTTATTCCCTAGGATATTTTATTAGCTATATCTATTCCTCATGGACTGACATCAGCTGGAAGAACATTGGAAACCTGGGAGCACTGGTCAGCTGTTTCATCCTAGTATGGAGCTCCTCAGCAGTGCCCACCCACGACCCAGCCAGGGACCGAACCAAGGATCTTCAGGCCCAGTGGCCAGCACGTTACCATTGAGTCCAATGGTCTATATTTCCAACTTTTGACAGTTCGCGGCATAGCCCCACCGTCACCCAATGTCATCGTTGAGTAGTTGTCTTCATGTTCATCAAGTTTACCCCGGCGGTCACGACTTCTCATTGGAATTTCAGGAACCACCTCTCGAAGCTAGTCATCAATGAGGACTATATTAATTTAATTTAGGGGTTTATGGGGATTTATTGTTTTCAAGTTGGTATTCATCACGGAGGAACATTGGAAACCTGGGAGGATCGGACAGCTGTGGCTCAATGGTAACTTGCTGGCCACGAAACCTGAAGGCCCTGAGTTCGACCCTGGCAGGATCGTGGATAAGTGCTTTCGAGGAGTCCCGTACTAAGACGAGACAGCTGTCCAGTGCATCCGGGTTTCTAATGTTCCTCCTACTGATGTCGGTCCATGATGAATACCAACTTGACATCAATAAATTCCCACAAACCCCTAAATTATATATATTTGTTCTCTTTTTATGACATTCGAGTGAGGGGAGATGGTAGATAAAATACCCTCAGGTTGCAGATACATTTTCGTCATAAGTGTCAGTGGGTTACACTGCATTATATTTTGATGTTAGGTGGTGGTAGCCGATCGGTAAAAATTCCTGCTCGTGTTTGATGGCACTCATAGAAGGTTTTCAGAGATCCGGAACAATTTTCTCACTTTATTTTCTTTAGATGCTGCCACCGTCTTGCATCCTAATATTGTTTTCAGTCTCGACAAAGATGCTGTGCATGTTCGTTTTGCCTTCTTGGATTATACATCAGCCTCTGACATTGTTCCTAGACCACTCTTCTTAAATAACCTTGCCGCTGCTTATACAGGGTTACAAATTGGTTGCATGCTTAGTTTTCTGGAAGGAAACAGTATACTGTTTATGAAGGGAAGCGTTCCAGTTAATGACTGAAACTGGTATGCCTCAAGGTGCAGTACTTTCTCCGTTTCTATTTTCTTTCTTGCATGATTTATCTTATTCTGCTGAAACTAATTTGATTAAGTATGCTGATGACCTGAAGGTTTTTGTGTGCCAGCTAACTCTCACTAGAGATAGCTCTCAATTAAATGATTTCTTGTCTGGAAATTGACCAGTGGTCTTTCTCAACTGGTTTTAAGTAGAACCCTTCTAAATGTCAGGCTGTTAATTTTAGCTCACTTGTAAATAGAGTTGTGTGAGCTGCTTAGGTTCTATGACTCGTGTTGTATTGATGGTATTTCTGTAGAAAGCAAATCGAATGTTAACTACCTTGGATTGAGTTTTACTTCTGATCTTCGATGGTCATCTCATATTTAGTTGGTTTCTCAGAAAAGTTTTCGTTTACCATATGATATAAAGAAAGGGAGACTCTGTGGTATAATTTATTAATTCCTGTACTTCACCTATTCTTCTCTATTACTCCCCGTTGATCTTTCCTAGTCTATGAAAAAATGACTCTTTTGTATTGCATGGTGCTTTGAAATCTGTCAGTAGGATAAATGCAGTGGCTCTGGCTCAAGTGATAAATACTGTAGTTGACAGACATTTAAATTGTAGCAGGCAACTAAAGTAGAGTCACTTTTCTGATACTGAGCATCCACCTTATTCACAGCTCTCTCCTTGCATCTCCTCAGGGAGTACCAGAAGAAATTATATGATACTGTGCGCTTGTATGGCTAAATATAAGAATTCAATTGTGCCTGTTTTACCTAACACGAATCTTATGTGAAGAGAAAAGTGTAGAACAGAACTCACTTATCAACTGTGTAGCAATAAATAACACTATTCGAATTGTTGTAAAGGAGCATACGTACATTTGTTGTAATATTACATGCTGAGAGTTCCGAACTGTGTTAAATTGTTTGGAATGATATGTTTTATTATTACTGTTATTGCCACTCACCATTGAAGCGTCTCTGCAACCATAAGTAAAAGACTTTGTTCAATGCTAAATAGTAAGGCGTAAACAGCTATAACGGACACACTGAAGAACTGCTCGTGTACACGGTCCAGTCCTGCAAGAGGTCGGTCGCCGCCTGAATACCTCAGTGGTGGCGTCTCTGACCTCAGCACTGGTCGACTCTGGTTCCAATCCCATAGGGTGAACGTCAGTTCCCTAGTGTTTACAAATACACTTTACTGACGAGTGCCAATAAACAAGAAACCTAGACCAAGAAGGGCCGACTGTTGGCTGATTCACAGGCGACTTCAAAGGCCAACTTAACCTCTGCCAAAATTACCAATCAGTTTGCGGTATTTTGGCTGAGAAGACAATTTTTCATTGAATACAGAAACGTGATTAGTTTTTCATCAGATGCTAGTAATGTTAATGTTAGGAGGACGGGAAGTGAAAAGACTAATCTGGAAATGGACCAATCAAAATGCAGTTTACGTCAATCATGCATACTACAGTTAGACACATAGACGATTGATCAGCCAATCAATATCATTATTTCAAACACTGAACTATGTAAATATTTACATATATTCTCCTTTGATCTTCTGCCCAAATACGTGTCCCTACACGTTCAGTGTGTCTTTTTCCATCTAATTAGTCGGGTAGGGAATCTACTAGGATGCTGTTGAACATTGGTGGCTGACAGTAGATATCCGAGCATCGGTAGCGGCCATAGCAGTTTCAAATCATAACAATTGACCTTGCAAGTAAGCAGTGAATGAAACAGATAAACACTTAGTAGATTCATTTAAAGACGCTGTGTGATTGGAAGCTATAACAACTGAAGCGTGTAGTTTCACACCTTGCTCAACGATTGGAATTCAAAAGTTAACTTCTCCTTGTTTTAAACGTTGTCTGTGAGAGCAGTTCGACTCGAAACTGAAGGTGGAGACAAGTAACAATAACAACAAAACATAGATTGGAAGTAGTTAGTACTAACAGGTCAACAACGAAAAATAACTTTATGTAAGCAATCAGATAGATCTGGTATGCACTGGAAAATAACTACCCATAGAACTTCGCAAATATCTAAGCCAACACCTGAATTCTGAATAATTCAGTGGTAAGGTTGCTAACTGCACCACTGACTGAAGCAAGTTTGAATCTCACCGGAGACATTAGTTCCCTCGAAGCTAGAGATAATTTTTGCTGACGCGTACTAATGAGCTGAAAACCCAGGTTCAAGGCCGTCTGTAGATTATCTCCAACCAACAGTTCACCATGATGTTGATCCTCCAAGCTTGATGACCAAACTGCAAAAGAAACTGGCCCATTGAGTTTGGTAAGCACTTATGACTAGACAACATGAAGTTGCCTGATTTCTAGTGACCAATTAATCTGTCTTATCAGTCCTACAGGATGCCGAGCACGGTTTCAATAACTTAGTGACAACGTATCTAACTGCTGCATTGGGCCGCACAGGCCTGAATTTCACAGGGAACAAACATTTAATTCCTTGAGTTTGTCGAAACACCATGCTGATGACAGTCATTGAGTACGAAGCATAGGTCAACCATGTCAGGCTTCCTGCTGATTGCCTCCATCCGTCAAACATCAGTAACTAATGAAGACAGTCCACCTTTTATACCAGATTAGGGCATGAAGTGCTTTTTTCCAACTTTCAGTTTGACAAAGTCGTGTACTTACGTGCCAGTTTATCGTATTTGTACTACATCTCAAATCCAATTGAAAGCATTTATGATTCGAAATATTTCGTATGCAATTTTGTGGCTAAAACTGTTTGCTTTGTTTTCTTAACATTCACTATTTTAGGTTACAATGGATGTGAAATAAAATCTCCCAAACCAGTTAATGTATTTGACGTACAGTCTCTGCACAACCTCTACCAATAGAATGTGGAGCTGGTATGCTAGTATCTGCATCTGTAACACCCCAAGTAGACACAAAACCATCTAACCCTCAACCGTGTAAAGCTATTATACCACTGAAACTGAATGATATGTGTCCTTTACTATATCCAACTAATAATCTTAAAAATAATGATAAAGGTATCATCGCCATGAGCAATAACAATAATAATAATGACAACTTGTGTACTAATGATATGACAACGGATCAAAGTCTTAGTGAAGATGACAGAAGTAGAGGAAGTAAATTTCAATCAGGTAGCTTATCTGTTATTGTTCTCATTGATTTCTTCATATGTTGCATATATACATTTTCCTTAGGGGATTGAGAGATAAGTGGATCACCTCAATAGTGCAAACCCACTATGACCCGGAGCCCCGTTACAATCGAGCTACCTACCCAACCACCATAGCAGAATTCAATGGTCTACACTCTTCTACTTCTGCCCATGCACGATATACTGCGGTTATACACAAAGGTCTCTAGCTGGCATCCACTTCACTCCCAACTGGTTGACCCTACAGGTGATGACCTCTCATCAGAATTCTAAGATATCCATCACAAAGCATGTCACAAATAAACAATATGCAATAATTTAATGTGAGGTTTAAGGGGAGTTTTCTGATTTCAAGGTAATATTTATCATGGACTGACATCAGCTGGAGAATTTCTGAAAACCTGTGAGCATTGGATAACTGTTTCGTCTGGTATGTGACCTCCAGCAGTACGCATCTCTGACTATGCAGGGATCGAACTCAGGATCTCTAGTTTTCATGGCGAACGCGCTAACTATTCAGCCAGTGAGTTGAAGCCCAATCATCCACAGTTTTCTACCTCTGTCAACTTTGGATTTAGCGCGACTACCCATCTGTGGATAAATTGCTGTCGATAGCGTTCCCAAGGCTAGTCCTTTGATACCTCTAACTGTGTTTGAAACCAGTTTAACAATTCACTGGAAGTACTGCACTTTGCATGGCATACTTCGATAAAATATGACAAGCTTGATGACACAGTGCGCCCATTAGAGAAGATGAATACAACTCGAAATCATATGAGTCATACCTCTGGAAAAAAAGAGGAACAGCAGATTGCTTAATCGACAGGAGAATGGTTCTGGGTCTAAATGTTTGTCAACAGGTAGCCAAATTGGACAGGGCAATATCTTTGTCATCATGGCTAATACCTAGTTCAATATAAATGCGGTTTTAAAAGTGCTTATTTAAAATGACAGATTTTATCTATAGAGAGGACAAAAAGGAAGATTGGAGTAAGATTTCCAGAACAGGGATACGGTAAAGGTACTCCCTAAAATTGACCAACTGGTGCAAAAGCTTAATCAATGTCTTATCACTATGATTATTACTGTTAGACCAAGGAAATAGCTTATTTAATTTAGTGTTCACCACGAATTGACATCATTTAGAGAGTGACTGAAAATCTGGCAGCACCGGACAGTTGTTTCTTGCAAGTATAGGTCTCCTCTGCTGGACGCACCCATGACCTTGGTGGAATGAAGCTCAACATCGCAAATTGATAGAATTAGGAAAGTGTGGACCACCATACTCTAACATAGTAGCCGAGTGGCCATCGCTTTCGCCCGAAGGCTTGATATGTCAAAATTCGATCACTCGTAGAGACATTGGTGCATACTGCCGAGAAGTTCCGTACTGAAACGAGACAGCTATGCAATACCCCCAGGCTTCCAACGAGCCTTCAACCGATGTTAGTCCGTGATGAATGCCATCTTGAAATACGTAAGATCCATACGAACCTCTAAATGCAATGGTGATTACGATTATAGCCTTCAACTGTGGCGGTTCCATCTGGAAAGTTTGCCAAATTAGTAGAAACGTTGCTACCTCTCTCCTTAAATGAGAAGACTGGCTAAAAGAATACACTAAATCAATCAGAGATTATGACAGCCAGTCAAATAAAAGTTCACAGGCGGAAAACGGGGATAGCCATGGTTTGGCAGACTTTTATTGATATAGGGTGATGCTTGAAGATGAAACGAAAATCTAGGCCACACAAGGACTCTAACTGTTAGCTGTTATTTCGCTAAAAACATCACAAATACACAGTGGTTCTTTTTCTACACACACTCCTTGGAAGGAAGTTATGTTACTCTAAATACTAGGCACCTGATTATATTGCGTTTGTACTTCATTGGTACGAAGCTGAAAAAGTGTGTATACTGTGCCTTAGAAGTTGGTTTTGTATACTGTACTTTTCAGTATAGATCTATATTCTTTAGTTTTCATTAGCAAATCAAGAGAATGGACCGAATCACTGATTTCATTTTCCTACGTAAAATGAACTGATGGGTGAGTGCTGCTGGAATGATTCAGAACAGAATTAATGCATAGGCATATATCAAAGCAAATAACTACTACGTACTCTGGACCAATTTTCATTGGTTTTTCAGGCATTTCCTCTTTCCAACGACAAGTCAAAATAACATTCTTTAAATAAGAATATGATGTAATGTAGTAACTCTGTTATAAGTTATTTGACTAACCTGTTACCTAGCCCTTCATGATAATGTCCTATAACTATCCAGATAGTTGAACTCATGTAACCTGGAATGCTTATCAAGACATCCTCTGTGACGCATCTCAAAACATTAAAATACAATACAAAGGTGTGATTGCATAAAGTTTTTTCAATTTTCCTCTGCATTTGTTGATTTCAAGGCAATCTCCATTTCTTTATTTCTTATTTTAATGAAAATAAGATTGTGAAATTATGTCTGAATGAAAAACAGGTAAGCTTATTAGTGTACTCTTATGTATATGGGTCTTAGATTTACACTATTATTGTCTAATTTTCTACTCTTTTAAGCATACAATAAACCTTTTGAACGTGAACTAGTGAAGAATGAAGAAATCTGTTCAGCAATTAAACAATCTAAATTAGTTGAGGACTTCATATCAGTACGCCAACAGGCAGCAATAAATCGTGCACGTGGAGCCGGTCATATTATGGGCGTAGCTGGTATATTAGCCGGTTCACCATTTGTTAACATAAATGAAAAAGGTAATATAATATTATGACGATACTTCAAAACCAGATTTTGATTTTTGTAACATACTACTTATAAGTTGTGAATAGTAAACAGAATTTTTGAGTGCTCGCGTAGCGAGTTTTGCTGGAAATACAATTATATGAAATGTTTTACACTGAAAACCCTTTTAATCTATAACATATCGTCTTTTATGACAAAATATTTCATCTGATTGTATTCACGGCTTTTTTTCACCAATTTATATTAATTTGTGCTGATATTCCTGCCACCTAAATGCATACTTTTTTCTATAAATTTATACAGGGCGAATCCTTGAACATCAACGAGAGGTAAGTAATTCATAAGCTGAATCCAGTTTAGTAATCACTTCTCTTCAACACTTACCAACCTCACGCGTATATTAGGCATGAACTTATGGGAACCGTAATTGAGTAGGGTGTGATCTACTTCCGATGATTAATTTGCAAAGTCCACAGTCCATGTTGGTATTTCTTACAGCTGAATTGATTTCCACTGCCCACCTGTGATGTCAACAGAGATTCCGTTGGAAAACACCTGACCAAGACCCCGAGATATGATCTCTGACACAAGAGTGTCGTGAACTATCGAAGTATACTATTAAACATTTAAAGAAGTTAGAAACAAGTCATTCTGATCTGTAGATTTCATGGACCATGGATTTGGGAAATTATCTGCGAATTATTCATTCTATTTTACATGTAATGGTCCATCAATGCAAGTCACCTGGCCAGATCAGTTGGTGAGAACAATTCATCTGTGCAAGCTGAATTTGTCCGAGTACACCCCCGATGAGTTTGACCACAAAAGAAGGAAACAACCCTTTGGTGTTGCTATCCCTCTAATCTGGTTATTGAAATGTGTAGAGCAGTGCGAGTGGTTTCTAACTTCTCATGCCTTTCAGTAGTATGGTTCGAGATGATATACTTTAGTGAAAGTGATGTGTTAATATATTCGCTATGCAAGTTCTTATGGAAATATGCTGCAATCAAGAGTTTTGTAAGTTGAGTGGTCCCTGCTTATTGATACTTGTAATTGCCCGTTGATAAACAGGGTCAAATTGGTCGATCTGTGTTGGCATATGGGCTCCTATGTGGATGCCTCGTAACTACCTGAATACTCATTATATTGTAACATATTTAGTGTTTAGCAGTGGAATCCAGGTTGACTCGCGTTTCATCCCGTTTAAGACTCGTCAGCCGGATGTCGTTTCCACTGAGAATTCGACCCAATACCCATCGTCTGGTGGATAACGCTTTGGTATTTGAAGCGATGGGCACTAGGTTCGAGTCCCAGTGGAAACGACATAACTCGCTGGGAATCAGGTACATCCAGCCTACCAGTCCCAAATAGGACGATACGCACGTCCAACTGGATCTCACTGCTAGCCATCAAATAGACTACAATATAGTGGAGCCATCTCGTTTCATCCAACTTAATTGGTTCAGTCTTCATGGTATGCACTACCTGACAGTTTTGAAATAATGGAAACGATTTTTTCTTTAGAATGACAGTGAAAACGTTTTGGCGTTCTCGAAGTTTCGGTATTCTGTCCTGGCCTGTCATGACTAACATCATCAACAGTAACTTTGTAAAGAAGTGAAGCGAGTAAAATTAGTGCACGAATGCCTAAGTAGTGCTTTTTACTCTCCTTAAATTGCCCAAATGTTACTTGGGGAAGAGATTTCTGTTTCACCTTTACCTTTTTGACTGTAAATTGACTGTAGGTAACTTTAGATGAACATCTTTGTTAGAGTGAAATTGTGCTATTCTATATTAACACTGTGCTTGGTTATTGATTCGTTTGATCAATTTCCACTGGATAATGGATAGTTGCTTTCTTATCGATATATTGTAGATCTTATCTGTATCTAGATGTCCGTTAATTCGGGTTTCATTTGTAATTGAGGCTTATCGGAAACTTTTGCCCGTTTTAAACTTTCTCTGCGTTTAAGTGTAGATGCTGATGCAGTCATCAAGTCTGGTGAGGAAACTTCTAAACAGAATATCAGAACACAGAGTACACTAAACCATTGTCTTCAGCTATTTTAAGCTATTAGTATTCACTGAACAGGCATGTCTCAGAGCATTTTCAATGGAGTCACATCATCTTTTCTGTCTTCGAGTTTATCGTTATGATAAGGTATCATAACTTCACTTGCTTACCACATTGGTAAAAGGTTCACGTAGAGTTACGCACAAAAATGAAAGAATTCAATTTGTCGTTACTTTTTAGCTTCACAGAAAGAGAATATAGTAAAAAGTACAGAATGATCAAGAAACAGAATACAAATGAACAGAACAGAAATAGATATCTCATAAGTAATAGGATGGTCAAGACTTATAAAATTTTAGTCGTTTGCTGAAGAGACGTTTAGCAAGCTCAGTCGAAACGCAATTAATATGGGTACTATACTGATGTCTTTCTGTCTAGTCATCTATCCGTCTATCTGTCTTTCTGTGTCTGTCTGTCGTGAGCAATGAGTGTTTCTACGTTAATATATAATCAAGTATATGTATGTTAAAATTCCTACTTTCACTGCTGCATTTTTAAAATTTAGTTGAAGGCATTAGAAGAAAAGCGCAAAAAGTTCGAAGCACTGAGAATAAGTGATGAAGTGAAGTGAGAAATCTCATCATACGTTGTTTCTTTGTTTTTAAATTGAATTATAGCACAATTTCAAGTGATTAGATTTAAATGCAATTGAGTCACATGAGAATCATTTCCAATGTTGTCTGGGTGTTTAAGTGAATGAGTGGGTGTCAGTGTGCTCTTATACTAATATTACTGGACCAGCCCGTCAGGGAATAGGAAGCCAACAAGAATATTACAGAAGCATAATAAGTCCTTACTTGTAAACATATAACGACCACCTGTTGGTAGGTTTTCCTCTAGCTTGTGGGTGCGTTGTGCAGGGGGGGGAGCTGGATAGCAGAGTGTGAATTTTGCAAGGAAGATGAAATCTGGAAGAGAGAGGGAAAGAAAACAACGTGAACCGATAACTCAAAAAAACACACAGGGGTATACTTACATCTAATGATAAAAGATGACTGCCAAACGGTGATTCCCAGTGAAAAGAAGCAGTTTAGAAAATCAATACTAGAAAGCATTCAAATGCGTTACTAACATTTGTACAATCTCAGTCAGTATTGTCTGTCCTTTGAACGTAAATAAACCGGTTTACTATCCTCTCACTATGCATCGAGTCGATTTGATTTCTATTTTGTTACAGGATCAAATTGGTGTGAAACGCCCAGTATGCAGTTGTCGACACTATGCCATTAAGGAGTTTGCAAGCAACAAATACGTTTATCCTTATGTGAACATTATTCACCTGGTTAATAACCGTAAAAGATTTTTCTACATGCATTCACGTCAGAACTTAAAGTTTAGATGAATTTTACACTTTTGAAGTGATAAATTTCGATAAAAGTAAAGAATAGAAAGCTAGATTTCGCTTTCCTAATGATGATGTATAAATCAGTGAGAATACGATTTATCCTTTAAGTATAATTCGTGACAGTGAGCACAGTATTTATTCCAAGGAAATCCTGAAGAACAAAAGTAGATACATACATGGTCAGCGATTTTCAACAAGGGTTATTTTTTGTCTTAACCTCGGCTAGGGTTTCTTATTGGGTCCTATGATTAACGCAGTGAGGAAATGCCCTATGCTGAACCTAGCTAGTATTATTCCTCAAGTTACTATGTGTGGGTTGATCCTACGGCTTCTGACGTTACACCAGCTGTCTCAAAGAGAAGAGAATTTTAGGCCGTTAGTCCACACAATGCACAATTATCTGTATTTGGCAGAATATAGGGGAAGGGATGTACAAGGTATTAAAAGGAGCGACTATTGAAGGGCACCCTACCAACTGTGGAAATAACCAATCAGGTTTCAGTATTCCCTCTAGAAAGGTGGCTTTTTATAAAATGGAGAAACCTAATTCGTTATCTCAGCAGTTTGTAGGATAACCTTTAAAGTCACTCCAACCGCGGAAGTAACCTATTAGGTTTCTGTTTTGTGAAAGCTAGTTTTCCAGCTGGAATACCGGAACCTGACTCGTTATTACAGCAGTTGCTAAGGCGGCCTTGTAAGTTGTTCTTTCAAAAGTGTAAGTGGCCCAGTCAGAATGGACGAGACTCTAAAGACCAGCGTAACAACTACCGACATAACCATTTGGGTTTCTTTGTTTTAGGCGAAACTATCTTCCCAGACTAAATCCGAAACCCGATTGGTTACTTTAGCAGTTGCTGGGGCGGGACATCTAAAGTCACTCATCAGAATGCTAGAACGACTTTAAAGGCTACCCTAGCAACAACTGAAATAATCAATCAAACTTCTCTTTATTATTTATTATTATTAGTCCCTTGGGTTCCTAGTGGAACATAGGGCTTCAGTAGCACGCCTCCAGTGACCTCTGTTCTCTGAGATCTTTTGAACCTGGTTCCACGACAGCCCACAACTCTCATTTCCTCCTCGCATGACCTCCTCCATGTCACCCTCGGACGTCCAACTCGTCGCTTCCCATGGGGATTCCACTCGAGGGCCTGACGCGTGATGTCCTCAGTCGGCCTTCTCAGTGCATGCCAATCCATCTCCACTTCTTCCTGCATATTTGTTGCGTGATAGGTTCTTGGTTGGTTCGTTCCCAGAGTTCCTTGTTGCTTATTTTTTCTGGCCATCTGATCTTCAGCAGCGAGCGTAAGCAGTTGTTGATGAATGTCTGTAGTTTATTGGAAATGCCTTTCGTGACGCGCCAAGTCTCTGAGCCATACAAGAGCACTGACTTGACGTTGGTGTTGAAAATCCGTATCTTGTTCCGCATGCTGAGTGCAGAAGATCTCCACACTGGTTTCAGGCTAATGAACGCCTGTCTTGCTTTTCCGATTCTGACTTTGACGTCCTCGTCCGTCCCGCCTGTAGTTGAAACAGTGCTTCCTAGATAAGTGAAGGAGGTTACTTCCTTCAAGTTTCTCCCGTTGACGGTGATTGGAGTTTGTTGTTGTTGTTGATGGTGGTGGTGCGGTATCTTCATCACTTCTGTCTTCTCTATATTCACCTGAAGTCCCGTCTTCGCTGCCTCTTCTGTCAACTTGTTAGTTTTTGCCTGCAGATCTTCAAGTTTATGTGACATTAGGCATAAGTCATCGGCGAAATCCAAGTCTTCTAGGTTCTTTTCCGTCGTCCAGTGTATCCCCCTCTTCTCGCTGCCTACTGTTTGCTGCATGATCCAGTCCACCACAATAAGGAATATCATGGGGGATAGTAGGCAACCTTGTTTCACTCCTGTCTTCACTTCAAAGGCATCACTGAGCTTCCCATTGTGGATTACTTGGCATGTGGCATCTTCATATAGTTGTTGAATGAGGCGGATAAAGGTTTGCGGTACTCCGTAGTATTGAAGCAGTTTCCAAATTACTTCTCGGTCGACGCTGTCAAAGGCCTTCTCAAAGTCGATGAAGTTGAGGTATAGAGCTGATTGCCATTCTACGCTCTGTTCTATGATGATACGAAGCGTTGCAATTTGGCGCACATGATTTGTACTTCCTGAAGCCTGCCTGTTCCGGTCGCAGTTTTGAATCCAGTGCGTCTTTAAGCCTCTCCAGGATGATGCGGCTTAATATTTTACTTGGGGTGGATAGGAGAGTGATTCCGCGCCAGTTCTTGCAAGCACTGAGGTCTCCCTTCTTCGGCAGTTTGACAAGGTAACCCTTCTTCCAATCGTCAGGTACCTTCTCTTCCTCCACACCTTCTGCAATAGTGGTGTGAGCATGTCCGCTGTTGTCTCTGCATCTGTTCTCAGTGCTTCTGGCGGTATTCCATCTGGTCCTGCTGCTTTCCCGCATTTCAGTAGCTTTATGGCGTTCAGGACTTCCATTTTCGTTGGGGGATTTATGTTCACTTGTAATTCAGCGGCTGCAGGTGGTATTTCTGGACGAAGTGCAGGTGGTGGTCGATTCAAGAGCTTCTTGAAGTGGTCGGCCCATCGTTTCCTCTGTTTCTCTTCTTTTGTAATTAAATTTCCTTCTTCATCTTTTATTGGTTTCATCTGTGTTGGTCTCTTCCCTGATAGCAACCTGGTTATTTGATACAATGTCGTCAGGTCTCTCTACCTGCAGCCTGTTCTGCTTCACTTGCCGTTGAGCATCCTTGCACTGGTTATCTTCTGCTTCACCATCCTCCTCTCCTCTATCAGCTTCCAGGTATCCGTCGAGATCCATTCCTTATCTTCTTCTTCTTCCTTCCTAATACTGTTGTGCAGGTTTCTTTCCACATAGCTTTCAAAGACTTCCAGTGTTCTTCCACACAGGTTTCTTCAGGGATGTCCCTCGACGTCTCCCATTTTGTCTTGATGGCTGCCTTGAAGATCTCCTTTGTAGTTTCGTCCTTTAGTTTCCGAGTGTTGTACTTGAATTGAGGTCTATCACCAGCTTCCTTGAAGGCTTTCAACTTGATTTGGAAGGTTCCTTGCACTAGATAGTGGTCTGAACCTACATCTGCTCCTCTTCTTGACCTTGTGTCAAGTAGGCTGACTGCGTCTCCATTTTCTTGAGATTGAGATAAAGTCGATTTGATTTTTAGTGTGTCCATCTGGTGAAATCCATGTCGCTAGCTTTGTGGATATCCTTGTGCCTGAACACACTGCCTCCAATCACCAAATCGTTGAATGCACAAATTCTGCAAACAATTCTCCATTCTCATTCATTTCACCTAGTGCCTCTCGACCCATGGTTAGTTCTCTTCCCGTGTTGTCCCCTCCCAGTTTGGCATTCATGTCGCCCATTAGAATTTTGATATCGCCAACTGACGTCTTGTCCAGTGTTGATTGAAGTTGTCTGTAGAATTCCTCCTTTTTCTCTTGCTCTGCATTATTTGTAGGTGCACAGCGTGGCATTGTATGATTGTGACCTTCCTTCCTTTTGAGTTGAATCTTGCTGTCATGATCCTGGAGGAGAGATTGGTTCCCACTGCATGAGAGCCTTCGATGCTCTTGAGGACATCATGATAGCCACTCCATAACTCAGTGTGCTCGTGGTTGGCGTCTGGGTGACCGGAGTAGATTATTGATTCTCCCGTTGACAGTTTGGAGAGTCCACTCCCATTCCATCTGCTTTCGCAAATCCCAAGCACTTCGATGTTATACCTTCTCATCTCGTTTGCAATCTGGGCTGCCTTACTGGGTTCAAACATGGTGCGGACATTCCATGTCCCCACGTTTACTTTCGCTTTCATCGAGAGAGGTGAGGATACACCGGCCAATTGGCTTCCCGAAGGCTTTCACCAACTGGCGTCATTTCGCCTCTCCGATTCCAGCGGGGAATAAGTTTGTTTTCATTTTTTATATTTTGTTTGTGCTTTGAAGTTTCTTTAGCGGTTAGATTTGTTTTACGGGGTAGGGTTGCTAGCCCTATGCCCAACCTTCCCTCTTTACCCGGGCTTAGGACCGGCTAGTAACTAGTAAACTAGTTAACCAGGCGTGGTTAATCAAACTTCTCTATTTTATGAAAATCTGCAGTCTAGTCGAAATGAAGAAACCTAATTGGTTATTTCAGTCATTGCTAAGGTGGCCTTCATGCGCTACCTGGAAAGAATGAGTGCAGAACAACCAATAAATTACTTATGTCCTTCATGTGTCAATCTCTGTCTCATCCTTCGGCATGAGTGACCTTAAAGACCATCCTAGCAACAACTGAAATAATCAATTTGACATCTCTATTTCATGAAAATCTGCCTTCCCAGCTGAAATAAAGGAGTCCGATTGGTCATTTCGACTGTTGCTAAGGTGGCCTTTAAAATTGCCCGAACACCAAAAGGCGATTTTAAAGGCCATCTTAGCAACAGTCGAAATAACCAACCAAACTCCTTTATTTCAGCTTGGAAGGGAGTTTTTCATAAAATACAGAACTTTAGTCGGCTACCTAAGCAGTCATTCAGAATTGTATGGACTATAAGGCCAGTTAGTATGTGACGTGTCGCCATGTCCGGTTTATGTGGTGCGACCGACGTTAGCAGTCATTATTCTGCTAAAATACTGTGTGAAATCAGTGATTTTGAATGTAATTTTAACTGTTTTCTTCATTTATTATACTATTTTTAATCCAGAATGCCACATTAGGCTTGATTGACAACGTATCATATACTGGCGGTGGGCTATAAGCCATAAGAAGAACGATCTACAATATGTATCCATATACGATGTGTAGGAATTTCTTTACCTTTTATGATTCAGCATTAAGTTCGATGACTGACTTAAACGCTTTCATGAATACTTCTTCAAGTACGTCTTTTTCACAAAATATTTCAGTAATTTATACATTTATATTTCAGCAACAAGCCGAAGAACGTGCTCGTCTACTAAAAGAACATTTGGAACGTCGTCGAAAACAAGGAAAAGATTTTGAAATGGAACGAAGACACCAACTTCTCAAGGTAAAATAGGGCATACCAGTCCATTGTACAGTTAAAATTGTAAAGTTTATTCTGCAGTGAGTTTATGTGCACTTATTGAAATTGTGATTGACATTCATACAGACAGTTGAACTCATGCTATATAAGTTGGTTGGAGCCTATCGGAACGAAGTTTTGGGCCTAGGTTTCGTGCATGTTGGCACTCGTCAGCATCGCATATCTGCACCCTTGAAGAAACATCCCCCTCTTCCTCAAGATTTGGATTCGCATCATCCAGTGTTGTAGTCAGTGCTGTTGTCACTGAGCTACTCAAATCACGTTTGACTTCCTGTAGGACTGGATTACATACAATGACTATTCACTGAATAGAAACCAATTTCATATTTTCTAGTCATGATTGCTGACCGAATCCTATCGAATTCTATGCTTGATTTAATGATTCGTTTTACTTTAAAACTAAACTGTTGCTTGACTATTTATTCAAGACATAAGGGTGATAGCCTACCCTTTGACTTTTCATATATTATCCTCTTACACAAAGATTATCTGGACTATATATATATAATATATATATATATATATATATATATATATATATATATATATAATATATATATATATATATATATATAACGCGATCTTACTGGCTACATCATATACGGGATCGTTCAATAAAGTTAAATCAAAATCTGAAATAAAAACACTTCTACCCCAACTACCGATGATTTAAAATGTTGATTCCCATTTTTACCCTCTACCTATCAGCTGGTCACTTTAACAGAATTATCTTTTTCTTTTTTGCATGCAAAAAGACTTTAAACATCAGCATCAAACTGACAACAAATGGAAGCTTCACCTTCAACGAAAATCAATATCATAATCACAATTAATAATCAGGCAATATCAAGGCATCCGCATAGGAGCCCATACGCTAACAGAGGTCGATTAACTAGATACAGAATAACAACATGAAATTACAACTGTCAGTATCATTTTTACCTCAGCGTTTTATTCCACTTGGTCAGTTCAATCTAATATCAAGGTCTTGAAAATCGGAAAATTTATAATTCATTAGCTATTTATTACAAATGACTATTGACTAATATGTTAGTCACTACTGGTATAATTACGTAATAATGAATGCTTAATTTCACTTATTTTTAGCTTGAACAATTTGACCGCTTGTACAAACTACAGTATAAAGATATTCGGGAAGAAAGTAAACCAACCGATTCAAAGTTAGTTGATAGCAGATAATTTTATTTGCATTTTCTCACCACTTGATTGAGTTAAATAAGTATGCACATATCACTGGTTGCCTTTCCACTATCCATTACATATAAGCTTTATTTCAACATCCAGTGATAGTATTCATTGAAGTTGTTAATGTCTTTAGATGATTAAGCCCTTGGATAGTGAGTATGTGTTCTGGTTGAAGCTACACAATGAGAAGCCCAAAACTTAAGTTTCGTGGTTGTTGGTACTCGGTAGCAAACAACTGCCAACTTAGATAAATAAACCCGCTTCATTCAGTGCTCCTATCACAAACTTTACCACTTTACAATTTAAGCCGTTACTGATCACCTGTAGGACCAAATTTACATATACATTGATCACTGAAAGGTGATTATCAATATTATGATTAATTTGGCTTGGTGGCTGGCTAGAAACAGAATTCAGAACGTGCGTTTCATTCTACTTGGGACTCGTCAGATGACTGTGCCAGCATCCAGTGAGTGATGCAGTTTACAATGAGACTTCATTCCAGCACCAATTGTTTCAAACGTCAGAGTATTGTCCACTAGTCTACTGAGTCACGAGAAACATCTTTTGTGTGATGGGTATAGTTTGATATATTTTCAACTGTTCATTTGTTTTCAACTGAATTTGTCGGCCTCTCTTAGCATATGGGCTTCTACGCAGACGCCTTGATACTGCATGAAAATTTATAATGGTTTAATTAACGTTGGTAATGGCTAGTTGAAGAATCAAGAAGCCAATCGAATGGGTTTAAACAACCATCGAAGACGGGAAATAACGAGTCCTGGTAACTCATGTTTTATAGTAAAAAATGGTAAAACAATTTCGTCCATCAATTTTACTATGCAGTTAGTAAGCTAGTACAAGAACATTTTCCTCGTATTACCTCATCTAGATAGTGTATACTATTAACAAGGTAAATAAGCTGTATACCGCCTGAAATCAACAAATGGTGTACAATAACTCATAACAATATCTATGCTCGCATTCTAGAAGCCAGCTACCATCATAAACAATGAGTTTGGTTAAGATTACTGGCACTAAGCTAAATAAGATGCCTGTAAAACAATTTCTAATCTGTTGGTTACCAGCATCGAAATCAGAACCGAAAAAAGAAGGCTGCACGAAAGATACTACTGATTGGAATGAGTAGTTACATACTCAGCAAAGCAATCGATGACACTTGCTAGTCAGATTTGGGGATTACCGAGTGACAGAACATGAATAAAATTAGTTTCATTTGTTGAGTTATTTATTAAGAAGATACACATCAAGCAAGCTGTAAGTAAGATATACATTTTTTTCGTAATATATTTTAAAGAATTTAAAAATATAGATTGTGGTTTATGGTGACTAGCATCAGCCGGAGAACCATTGAAAACCTGGAAGTGCTTGGCAGGTGCTTTATCTTAGTATGGGACTCCTAAGCAGTGCACACCCTCAACATCGCCAGGGGTTGAACACAGGACCCTTAGGTCCCATGGCGAACTCATTAACCATCTAGCCAGTGGGTCGGAGATCGATGGTCCACAGTTTCCTGCTTCTGTCCATTCACCATATATTGCAACCATCCTTCAAGGCCTTCATCTGGCACCCAATTCACTTCCGATTGGTTGACCCCTTGGGCGACGGTTTCGATCCCTTGGGAGTTGTGGATGCATACTGCTGAGGAGTCCTATACTATAGGAAAAAACAGCTGTTCAATGCTTTCGAGTTTCCAATTCTCTAATTGATACCAGTCAGTTAAAAATACTACCTTTAAAATTTAAAAGTAACCATTTTTATCTCTGTAATCTCTTTATACGAATCAAGTTCATCCGATGCAACTCCAAGACCATCAGAAGCCCCTAGTATAAGTATGGTATTGGCAAAACTAAATGAAATGCCTATTCTGGAAAAAATCAATAAATCACCAGAAATAAATCAAGATATGGATACAGGTGGTGAAGATGAAAGTTCAGCAATGACTGAAGATGATCAAACATCAAATTCTAGTTCTGTTCACTCAAATGTACTTCATAAATGGTTAGTTAGTCTCTCCAAAGTAACGACACGTTTAAAGTAGACAATACTGCTAATTCATACACCGTTTTTCTTTGACAAGTTTTATAAAATTGTTCAAAAACCAGTTCCGCGCAGTTTAAAGAACTCATTTCTTGATTTAATAGTTTCTGTTCAGCTGGAACCAGTCTAAATATATGAAAATCATTATAGAGTGAAAACATCGATAAACCACAGCTATTCTCTTACTTTGACATAGTGGTTGAGCTTTCATATCATAGCGACCCAACGATCTGTATTGGTGTGGACACTTGTCCCCTTGAAGTCCTGACATACCAAAAAGGTCTGTTGGATAATGACAAGACGAAAAACACTTACCACTATAGTGTACATAGTTACGCTTTGACGGTGATCTGACAGTGAAGTCACACAACTAGCTGGAGGCGGGTGTGACAACAGTAATGTGTTTCCCACTGATGATCAACAGTATCATCCTGATACTGCCTTCTCTATGGAACGAAAGGGGTAAGAAAAGGCTGGCTGCAAAAATAGCACAACCCCTTCTCACCCATGGTCTTCCATTGCCCGCGGTTTTATAGATAAATTTAAATCAACCAAAACTAAATCTCAAACTTCTGAAATGGCCATGTGACTTCCCTAAAGCAGATATCCCTTGTGCCTCAATGTCATACATCACTGTCACCAATCCAGTTTCTTTTCCAGGTATCCCAAGATAAACTAACCCTTCATGGTGCTTTGGTCTATGTTCAAGAGGAGACTCCGAAATGAATCAATATAGACCTCTCAAAGGGAAAGAAATTTCTATCCCATCTTTGTAGTCTCTTTGTCGTTTTTCGATAGGTAGCGATTATCTTTTAAATATTTAATCAAGTAATCAAATAGGAAATTACTTACTTGATAGGAGCTGGCAGTAGAATTGAGGACGCCCGTTTCATTGTACTTGGTCTCATCACCTGGATGTACCTGCAGCCATCCCAAAGCAGATAATATTCCAAATGGGACACTTGAAGCAATATGCAGGCATCTATTCAAGGAGTTCATACGGTACAAGAGACCGATCAATCAAGTTCAATAGACTAATCAACGGAGAATTATTAGCACCAATAAATTAAAAAAAACTTATTCTGATACATATCAGTCTTCCATTATCCAAACTGATGTTTAATATTCATCAAGCCTCAATATTCGATCGAAAAGTGTATTTGTTGTTGGTTACAGAAGGACCACCAGAAAAGAAAATAGCTGGATAAAATGAAGGGAATGGATGGAGTGTAGGAACAGACAAATGAAGAGCATTGATATGTAAAAGGATTTTCATCAAGGTAAAGAGTTAGTATATCTACACCATTGAAATCGATTTGAAGTTGTATTATATAGGTTATGCAACTGATGAAGCTTAGGATTCCGAAGATTTTAGCTTAATAATCTACAACAGGATGATTAATTTACAAGCGATTGAAAAACTTCATGGTTCACGCTGACATTTCTCATACGTGAGTGGCTTTTTTCAACCACTCAACTATGGTTTCAATAGATTTCCCGTCGAAAAATACGCCACAGCCAAGATCACAAGGTGTATGTGTGTGATCTCCGACACAAAAGCGTCAGGAACTAGCACTTAGGCTGCTGATCTGTAGATTTCCCTAGGCAGCCAGATAAGATCGGTACCGAACAAGTGAAATGGCCGTTCGATGTTAAGATCACTCTGATCTGGTTGGTGGAATCTACAGATCAACCTGAGTGTGTGCTTTCTAATTACTCCAGTTTTCAGAAGCAGTATTTCTCGCTAGTTCATGACACTTTTATCAGAGATCACATTTGTGATCTTGGTTGTGAGCTGGTTTTCAGCAAAAAACCTTTTGACATCATAGTCAGGAAGCTACTTAGTAGTGATAAATATCAATGTAAACCGTGCAATTTGTAAATCCTTTTCAAACTGATCATCCCCTGTAGGTATACCGGTCCATGCACATCAAACAGCCAGATTCAAGTGATCTGAATAAATCGCTGTATGAGCTGGATTTCTTCAGATACACCACTGATAAGCTGGCTCGACCTGAAACGAGCAAAACGGCTGTCTGGTGTTTACATCACTCTGATCAGGTTGGCTGGCGAAATCTACACTTCCCTACATGACTCTAGCTAAATGTTAGTGACTTCATGCATCGGTACTAAGCATTCGTCGTCTACCAACTAAAATCTGCTTTAACAATCGTCGTCATCATCATCATCATCATCATCAAGAGCTACAGACGGTTTACATTGTTTTTATTAGGAAATGAAAGTGTTCTTTTCATCAGAACATTCTTGATATGGGTCGCTAATTTCATCTTGTTGTTGATTTGTTTACTATACAGTAATGCGATTCGTAAGAAAAAAGACAATATTCTAAGAAGATTAAATGCAAAATCAACTGATTCTCGTGGAAAATGGAATAAACTCCCTTCAAATTATAAAGCTGGTATCAACCTTAAACATTATCTAGTTCAAGACAAAGAAGTTATGAAACATTCAATAAAAGATCAATCAATTGAAAGTACATTTCTAGAGAATTTAGCTAAACGTACTTTAGAAACAAGTGGTACTTCAATGGAATTAACTAATTTACCAAAAGATAGTGAATTACCATTACAATATTGTCATCATGAATCTGATTCGCATAGATCACAATGGTTGCATCCAGCGCATATACTTATTCATAAACTAGGTGAAGAAACGGTTTTATCCGGTAAGTCTCAGTTTAAAATCTGCCTTATCTACCTTGAGTGAATTGTTGAAGAGTTTAACTTATGTTAATCTAGTCAAAGTCATTGTTGTAATACACCATAGTATTAGGTCAGATATTTCATGCATACATTTTCACCTTACCAACTTTAATAGGAACAAATATTGCGGTATAATAATACGGATCGAATCAACAACGAGAAATTACGAGTAATAATACAAAGAACTATGCGCGTTGCCCAAGGGTTGGGGATCGTGATTCATTAACCTATTACATAACGCTTCGGTATTAGGTGCGATCACTGCAAGGCTTGATCTCAGGAGAACAGCATCACAGTCCCAAATAGGACGAGACGTGTGTCCTGGATTCTACTGATAGGCACCAAACAGACTTGAGCATAATGAATATTCAGATACTATCGAGGTATCCGCATAAGATCCCATCCGCTGACAAAGGTAGAGCAATACGACCTAAAAGACCAACAAGAGATTACAAAAACCAAACAATGAACATGAGCAAGTTTTTTTCGTTAGCCCGTGTCTCATCTCTGCATCTGTATGCAGTAGGTTAGGTTTATCGAGTCATTCAAGCAAATGGCTCCATTGGTTTAACATTGAGTGTCTAAGTCAATTAGTCTAGAAATGAATGTCAAATAGAACCCCGTGTAACACTGGCACTCTGCACAGACTCAATGTTATGAACTACACTTATCTGATGAGACGTGATTATCCAGCCTTCAGTAGGATGAGGAAGAATGGAACACAAGACCCATTATTTGGAAGTCAACTACTTAAACCAATGAACCACACCTATGCAAGTGTATCACGATGCTTGATTTCGAAATTCTAATGTAGTTATAATCTTTATACGTTATGACGATAACACATAGCCCAGTGACAGTTCTGGAATTATGATCCCGATCTTATGACTTGTCTGTATCGGAATGTACACTTGAACCATTTGCCCACTTATACAGTAGGCAATAATCCACAAGTATTGTTTAGGGAAAGTCATACTGCCTCCCAGCCCAGATGTTGATAGGTGGAGTGCGGTTTGAAACTGAGACCTGTCTGTCCGGAATTCAAGTGCTTATAACAATGAACCATAGCTCCACTGTACATTCAGAGAATTTCAAACGTTTTTACCACAGCTTGGCAAATACTGTTGGGTAGGTTTTAAGGACTGTTTGATTTGTTTCTGTCACTACCCATGTATGCCAGATTTAAAGTTTACCTTCATTTACTGATAACAAAACAGAACTATCTGATTGTTCTATACACCTACTTCTCAGTTAGGAAGTCACAGGCCTGAACGCCAGTTGACGTAGTAGTTTTTCAGCATCCAAACAGCAGCATAGACAGGCAGGTAAAATCAACGTAGAACCTCGCATACAAGTGCATCGACTCAAGTCACACTCCGCAGTAGTATACAAAGAACATGCGGACAGAAAAAGAGTAGACTAGCTTGTGGCAGAGAATAAACAATCCCAAGATAAAGGTTAGTGCAAATACTAAAGCCTTATATGTCAAGAAGTGAATATATCTGTGTCACTTTTTGTACCTGCTCAACAAAATGAAGTGAATAGAAGTAAAAATTCAGCACAAAAGATTTATATATAATTTTTCTTAGTCTGCTTAGATAACTCAAAAGTATACTCCATATATTACAATGATGAATTTTCACTAACTGGTTGGGCAATTCCATTAGATATTTTAAAGTTTATAAATACAGCGAGATGAGTAGAATACCAAAATTATTTAAGGTGATAGTGTTTCTCATTAGTCTATAATAGCTATTGAAATAATATAAGGCAAAATCCCATGAATAGGAATTCACCAGAGTGATCCAACCTTTGATTGAAAATGAGGCGTCTCCAAGAGCTTCAGGTAGTTGAAACTGAGCCACTTCGTTTGTTGGTGATATACCACTTCTAACTCAAAACCCCACAGAGACCTGTTATCGTACGGTAGTTCATTGCCATTCCCACGTTTGTCAAAATAAAATATCCTTCCTTTCCTTGCACGAAGTTATGTTTTGCATATTTAACGCACACATTTCCACAAGCGATTACAACCTACAGCTAAACTACGTATCCTGTGTAGTACATTCCAGTTTTTCGACACTTAACACAAGTTGAGTGCAAAGAAAAATCGCATTTTTTTTATCTAGTTATCATGATATATTGAAGCAGTGATTTACTTGGCTACATAAAAACAATCACATCATGACCATCTACTGGCACCTCTCAAAAATAAATTAATTTTCGAATATCCACTAGACTTAATCCCTTAGACACTTCACCAGCAACTTCGACAGAAGACAAAACCTGGCAGAAGTAATAGGCAATTGAAATCTACCAGAACTCAAAGATAGTAACTGAAAGCCTCAGAATATGAGACACGGTGCCCCCATAAGTAACAGACAAGCTAAAAACATACTGCTAATTACCAACCGATACAAAACATAAGAAGGATGCAGCGAATTTCCAAGTAGTCGACATGAATCCTCTGTCATCAACTTCTCTCTACGCGACGGTTCAATTACAAGACTCAATATGGTTCTATGGACAGCGAGTGATATTGTGTGACAAAAGCGGCCGCCTGGGTAGTAGTCTGAATTGAGTTACACTGGTCAATCTCGCTACACGCGCCCAGCACAGGCCATCTCATTCCGACATGTACACCTCCCCCTCCCAAGGGTTACCTCGGTCACCGGGTATGTGGTGCACTTGTCAGAGCCGTTTCTGTTCACCTGTACTCTTGTTAGCAGAGTCCCTCATCACGAGAGTCATACGCTGCTTGCCTCAGACCTTCCCGCGAGACGGGTGTGAGCGACCAGGCGCCCGCGAGTAACCTCACAGTGACCATCTCCCAGGCGGCCGAGATCTAGGCTTTCGACACGCTCCCCAAATCACATTTACAGAAAAACAATTTAACCACTTTATTTGTACATGTTTCTCGAGTCAAACACTTCAGCACCCAACATCACTTTTGATCACAGACATCAAGAATTTAAACAGTGAATTAACCTCAACAAAACCCAGTATACTTCTTTTCTTGTGCATTTTAGTGTTTTCAACAATCGAATGTAAGTAGTATATGCAGTTCGACTAAATTTCCATGCTGACAATAGCCGGCAAAGTGAATGAATACCCGGTGAATCACGTATTGAATTCTCGATCTTGATCTTCTTTGCATCAAAATCATCAGTTTCTGTGTTTATTGCAAACTTCGTCATTTTCACACGGATTTGGAGTTGATTTAATATCTCGATCAAATTGTGGGGAGTGAAAGGTTTGAAGTGAGATTGAAAGCAGCTAAATCTTCAAAACTGCACATCATCTGAGTACCAGTTTATTCTCACATCTGTTAGCAAAAGGCCGGAAAATTATTGGTCATATATGTAATATGTGCAAAGTAGCTCATGTTCAGAAGTACCTAAGCTCCCAGTTCGTTTGAATAGACATAAAATGGTTGTATAACACTAGGCTAATGGTGGTGTCTACAATTTGAATTTGAGGCCTTCAACTGTCCAAACATTCACTTTGCCGGCTATTGTCAGCATGGAAATTTAGTCGAACTGCATATACTACTTACATTCGATTGTTGAAAACACTAAAATGCACAAGAAAAGAAGTATACTGGGTTTTGTTGAGGTTAATTCACTGTTTAAATTCTTGATGTCTGTGATCAAAAGTGATGTTAGGTGCTGAAGTGTTTGACTCGAGAAACATGTACAAATAAAGTGGTTAAATTGTTTTTCTGTAAATGTGATTTGGGGAGCGTGTCGAAAGCCTAGATCTCGGCCGCCTGGGAGATGGTCACTGTGAGGTTACTCGCGGGCGCCTGGTCGCTCACACCCGTCTCGCGGGAAGGTCTGAGGCAAGCAGCGTATGACTCTCGTGATGAGGGACTCTGCTAACAAGAGTACAGGTGAACAGAAACGGCTCTGACAAGTGCACCACATACCCGGTGACCGAGGTAACCCTTGGGAGGGGGAGGTGTACATGTCGGAATGAGATGGCCTGTGCTGGGCGCGTGTAGCGAGATTGACCAGTGTAACTCAATTCAGACTACTACCCAGGCGGCCGCTTTTGTCACACAATATCACTCGCTGTCCATAGAACCATATTGAGTCTTGTAATTGAACCGTCGCGTAGAGAGAAGTTGATGACAGAGGATTCATGTCGACTACTTGGAAATTCGCTGCATCCTTCTTATGTTTTGTATCGGTTGGAAATTAGCAGTATGTTTTTAGCTTGTCTGTCACTTGAGTGCCTGCATGTTTTACTCAGTTGTATTTTACTTTTCCATTTATCAGAATTGATTTGATCACAGTATTGTTTCACCTTCATTTGCAATTTGATGGAAAATAGTACCACGAAATTCACCCTTTGATTTTGTGTGTTTACTTTGCCACTGTTCAGTGAGCAGGCATATTTCGATATGTCTGAAAATGTATGGAAGGTGTGGCTGGTGAACTTCCATACAAGATTTTTAATTCTCATGTTTGTGTCTAAGTTGATTTCTGTTATTTTGAGTAGATTGAAGTGCGGCGTGCATCTTAGTACAGCATGATATTACTAAGACAATTTATAGGAAATTCAATTATTGTAAATCATAACATGGAAATTCAAAGGCTTATTAGTTTAGTAATTCCATATGGTATGCAGTCCTCGAAAGAAATAAGAACTATTCACAACTGCGATATAATATTCTACTCCTGTGGAATGGATTCTCTCCGTTCTACCGAAATGAAGGTAACGCATGTAATACGGAATGAAAATGAATAAACTGCATTGATTGGTCCCTGGAGGGTAACTTACTTCATGTTGTATAGTCTCGAGTGGTGACCGCATTCTATAGATTATTTTGCAGTGTGGCCAACAGGATAGGCGGCTTAGCAACGCGATGCACCTTGGTGGATGTTAGTTGGATGGAGGCAATCGACAGGAAGCCCCTGGACTTAGATTTCTGGTATTTTTGCTTTCATCAGCAAGGCGGGACATCAGTTCCGTACAGGTTACGGATACGCCTTGCTGACAAGTACCAAAAAGCACGAAGCCTAAGTTCAACGGGTCATCCTGGCGATTACCTCAATCCAACTAACATCCATCAAATAAAACTGCGTTTATGAAATAAAATGCACTGAATGCAATGCTTTATTTGTAGGGTAGACAGTCAGGAGCGTAAATGTAAGTGTAAAATAGTAAAAACTATGTCTAAAAACCATACTAAAGGTTAAAAGTCTAAGAAAAAAGTTAGCAATTGCATTACACTCAATAGAAATCGGTGGCAAAATTGATTTTGATTGAATCAAGCATCCATCAAAAAGGTTTTGCGTTAACCAACTTCCTACATATATGGATAAATCAAAATACACTTTGGAGGTCCATGAAGATTTATTGAATTCAGTGTGGTATCCATCACAGGCTGATATCAACTTAAAAGTCATTGCAAACCTGGGAGCACTGCATAGCTGCTTCGTCCTAGTATGAGACTCCTCAGCAGTGCACACCCATGACCTCGTCACTGGTCGAACCCAGGACGTTTAGGCTTTTCGACAAGCAGGTTACCATAGAGTCACTGGGACAAGAACGTTGTCTAGTGCTGCCAGGTATTAAATGGTTCCCTAACTGGTGTAAGTCTGGGATGAATATTGCCTTCAAACCGATAAATCTCCACAAACATCCAAAGTGAATTACCGTCCAGCACTTGTTATCGACATGTTTGCAGATGAAGTTGCCCGAAATTCTTATGAGAAATGCTAACGTATATGCAAAACCAAGTCAGTGGTGAAGACAACTACTCACCGATAGCACCAGGTGATGGTCTCACTTTATCGAAACTTGACAGCAGTAGAAAAATGTGGACCATCGAACTCCGATCTAGAAAATTAATTTTAACTTGCTGGCCATAAAACCTGGAGATCCTGCCTCTGATCTCTGTGGAGGTCTTGGATGCGCAATTCTATGAAGAGTTCCGTTCTAAAATGACTGTAATGATGATGCGTTCTAGGACTATTTACAAAAAACAATAAATTAGAAACCGTAAGTTTCCTCGTAACCTGTTTTGCAGATTTTCTTGTCTTTGTGACTTTTGGGAATTCTCTTCTACAGAAACACATCAACGTAGAGCCTTGCACAGAAGTGCACCGGTTCAGATTGCCACACTTCATAGCAATATATTAAAACCACAAGTGGACAGAAAAAGAATAAATGAATATTTAAAAAATGGAGATTAGTGGACGCATTAAAGAGCAAATACTTCTATGCCATTAAAAACGATTCTCTGCCATATCGCCAAGAGTCTGCAACCATTAATTACCTATCACCTCAGAGGCCCCAACCAGGTACCCTACACCTCCCTACAAAGCTTAAACCAACACTTAGGGACTTCATGGACTGCTGACATGTCAGTCTGACCACCGTTCGTCTTATTCTAACCTAGTTCTTCTTTATGTAACATTTCACGTCGAGGTACGCAGCATCGTCTTGGCATATACATTTATGTGAAGAAGATCGCTGACATATGGTAGATATTCATTCAGCTGGGAGATTTCATTGAACTCTAGTTTAGAGGACTGTTTTTGTGAATCAGCATTGCATTGAAAATTCCTATTTAGACATTTAGAAAAGAAAGAATGATTGAACGAAAAAATATATTCCTGTTCAATTAGGTTTTCGTCTTTGGCTCTGCACTAGTACATGTAGGTTTACAGTTCAGTCAACGTGCCGACCAAGTGATGGGGTGTTGATAAACAATAATTATAAGTTTTCAGTAAGTCATGTAAGATGCTGCAAATAATCAACAGAATAATTATAAAGTGATTAAAAATGGTAATTATAATGATGTGAAACAGGCTATTCTTTGGAAATTGAATGGTGACTGGTTAGGTAAGTGGAGCGTTTTTGCTCGAGTGGTAATTCATAAGTAATAAGTAACTACGTAAGAATAAGAAGGCAAATTAATATTCGTAGAACAAGAGGGGGAAGAGATGTACAAAATAATACCAAAAGTTACATCACGTTGACGGCCACGGTAATTTCATTTGAAGGTGGACCGCAATCGACTCAGTTATGTGAAGTGAGTGAATACATGTGGTAAATTAATTGGTATGTGATAAATAATTTAAAATGCTTTTCTAGTATACATTTGGTATCCATTGTCAACTAAGTTTGCAAATATGGTGCTCTTTACTGTTCTAATGTATCCCTTATTCAACCATGATGGGTGGTGATCAATAATTCGACGATGCACCTGCCTCATTGTATGCCCAAAGTAACTAGCTTCACAGGAGCAGTTGAACTGATAAATGGACATGGATGTGACAGAATCAGACAGTTTGTCTTTATCCCTTGCATCTAGAATCGCGCGGCTTTAGAAGATGGGACATAATTTACCGGCTGGGAATGCTCTTCTCAGGAGTCTTCTTATGTATTGTATGATGATGATTTCACTAACCATGTCGCTCTTGAGTTCCACTTTCAAAAAGATTTGCCTCTTAAGAGAGCTTGATTAGTATTTTGACTGAGTTATATATATATATATATATATATATATATATATATATATATATATATATATATATATAATATATATATATATATATATATATATATATTAGTGTAGCGGCAAAGATGACGTATTTGTAAAAGAATATATTTCTTCCCTGAACCAGCATTACTTAGATAAATGTTTATCTTTAAAAAGTGTAACCAAGAAAGACAAAAAGCCCAGTGTCCTAATAAAATTCACAATCTTATAATGTCTTCAATAAACAATTGCTATAAATTTATCTAATAAATTACTTCAAATTCTATTTATCCTATGTAAACATTTTCGACAAATGCTTTCCTTATAATTCATTCGAAGGTTCATCTGACAATCAAACAGTTGTTGGCAGTTCAGATCTTAATGTAACGAAATCTGACCTTCAGAATCGACTGAATGGGTTGGGAAGTCCTGTGAAACGTAAGTCGGATTTTGTCTGTTCGTCTATCTACCCGTCTGTCTTTCAGTTTGGTTTTTGTATAGTAAGCGTCATTCTGAGTAAATTGGCTGACATAGGTGAGTATCTTGGTTACTCGTCTAGTCAGTTTCAAAGTCTAAGAATAATATTGGAAATTTTTTTAGATTGGAGTAAGAATAGTTGTTGTTTGGTGCCCCTCAAGTTTGATATTTTATCAAAAATGTTTTGACACCAAGCTGTGAGTTCACTGCTACACTTACACTACAAATGTGTATCATCAGAACTTTAGTTGAGTATGTTCCAGTCTCTTGTCAGGAAATATTAAAGTTAGGCAAAAGATAACTGGTCAGCTTGTAGACCTATTCATCTGTCCTCCTGAAGTTTTCTATCGTGCTCCAAAAAATTTGTCGTCACAAGGAAGATCTGGCTGATAGCTACCACCTTGACATGGTGGTTGGGCTTGTGTATCACAGTGATTCAATGAGCTTACACTAGTTGGAACGCTTGTTGCCTGAAGATTTTATTATATCACAAAGGTCTGTTGGATAGTGATGAGACGAAAAGCGGTTACCGTTGTAATGTAAATTGCTATGCTATGGTTGGGGTCCGAGGGCAAAGTCGTACTGATGGCTAGATGAGTTGTGATAGCAGAAAGGTGTTTCCTTGAATGGCCAGCTGTGCTACGCTGATGTTCCGTTCCCTATGGGAAGGAGGTTAGAAGAGGTTGACCCTAGAAGTAGTAAACTGTTCCCTATCCCCCAGTCTTCTGGTGCCGGAGGTATAGTTTTTTACTGTCCGGCGTTCGAACAGTCACATCTCACATCAACAATCCTGTGTGTGACAGGCTTCAAGCAGATGCCTCATGGGCTCTAAGGTCACACAGATCTTCTTATCTTTCAGGTACCTTTAGAAGAAATAGCCTTCCACAGTATTGTCAGCCAAGAAGTGTCAACCATCTTCACTCTCCTATTAGTATACAATACCCACTCTAGCATAACTATAACTGTATGAACGCTTCAGAAATTTCGACTGGTGATAGAGAGAATAAAAACCCACTAAGTAATCGTCAAAATTGACTGAATCGAGTAGTACCACGTTAGTAGAGCTGATTGTGTAAATTCAAAATTTATATCTTCCCGTAAACGTTACTAAACAACTTAAAATCTCCAAACATCATGTCATTCTGACAAATAAACCATCCCTACTGATATGAACTCTAGAAGTTCAGAAATTATAAATGACTGAACAGTTGAAACCCTTTCCATTCCCTCACCAAAGCATAAGTTCTTTTCATTTCATATCATCAGATGTGAAGTAAAGATGACAAATATAAGCGATCTCAGTGTGCCTTGATTGAAAAAAACACTTGATACTGAGATGAGTTACATCATACGAATAGGGATTTTCATATTAATCAACCGTTTGGGGAAAGGAATATGAAGTGAATCCGTGATATCAGTACAGAAACACTAATGAATATCTCTCGGTTTTCTTTTATCTCATAATGGTAGGACATTTATCTATTGTGTTTAATTTATGGTAATGATAGATAGTAGCTGGGCAGTGGAATCCAGGACGCGCGTTTCGTCCTACTTGGAGCTCAGCAGCTGGATGTACCGGCCTTCCAATGAGTTATGTTGTTCCCACTAAGACTTAAACAAACCCGGAGCTGATCGCTTCAAACGTCAGAGCGTTATCCTCTAGGTCACTGAGTTATGACAGCTTTTATGTTATTGCTTGTTAGCTACTATCCATCATTACCATAAAATTGAAACGACAGGAGACATCGAGACGTCGGTGCAGGAGCCCATATGCCAACGACGGAATGACACAAACAACAGCATAATATGTATAATTTAGTTTGAAGTTTGCGAGGATTTTATTTGTTTCAAGATAGTATTCATCATGGACTGACATAAGCTGGAAAATCACTAAAAACCCGGAAGCACCGGACAGCCGTCTCATCCTGGTATATGGGACCCCTCAGTAGTACGCACCCTCGACCTCGTCAGAGATCGAAATCAGGGCTGGCGATATAGCGTGACTATCTAATAAGATCAGCTTCACTTCCTACAGGTTGACTACTCAAATTACAGCCTCTAATTAGAACTTCGAGATATCCATATCTAAGCATGTTACTAATGAGCAGTATGTATCCAACTGATGTCAGTCTGTGATGAATACTAACTTGGAATCATATGTAATGTTTTGTTGGTTATTTCGTTAAAGTCACCACCTGCACCTAAATACACCTTTGTTTGTTGAAACTGTAGATGCATGGCAGCTTGAATTACAAGTAAAAGAGACTGGTGCAGAAACGAAGATGACACTGCCAAGTACTACTACTTCTACTACCACGGTTACTGCTACAACAACTACTTCATCCTCTTCTGTTATGCATAGTCCTTCTACACCGGGTCCAAGTGGACCAGGTGGTCCAAATGTTCATTTATCCCCTGACTGTCTACATCCAATTAATGAAAAGAATCCAACCAGTTCAGCAGTAGTCAATTCAACAGCTCTATTCAACAAGAGGTTTCCATATAATCGAATGGCCACTTATCGACTAAAGCATCCACGAGTGATTAGTACACCTGATGATAAATTATTTGAGAAGGTAATTGGATTATTTTAGTAATCATTTTATTTATGTTTAGACTCAGAAAGTAAAAGGTTTGGAGTTTTCTTTTCACCATTGAGCGGTGAACTTTCTCAACTTGTTTTAAAGTGAAATAGGAAACTTTGTCCGATTGAATACTACTGTTCTTTAGGCTTAGATGCTTCAGCCTAACTCTTTTTATTGCTTGTTTCACTGAAGTTCTTTGAATATGTGGTATCTTTTATGCTAAAACCTAGTGATTAATTGGCTTTTGTTCTAACTTTCAGGTGAATCATTACACTAGTTTATCACTCAGGCCTAAATAATTTTGTGGTGCCAGGTTTTTCGTTTTATTTGTCCAGTGAAGTACTACTCGACACTTTACCTCATTGGTTTAGGAAGCAAACTGCCAACCAATGGGTCATGAGTTAGAACGCCACTCTGCCTGTTGAGGTTTGGGAGCCAGTTAGTGTCATTAGCTCTCATGCCATAGACATGGCTTGCTGCCCAATAAACGGATATACACAAAGTTTCTGAGTGGTGCGCTTTGTGTTTGTTACTGTACGAGTCACGATAATGCAGGGAACAGCTTGATTCCAATCTTCATGCACGGAAGTAGTTCATAGCTGATAAACGATTACCAGATGCGATTCACCCCTATAACGAGTTCAATTTCAACCAGTAAATTGGAGTTTAGAATGATGAACTACTCATACTGTCACAACCACCAGATAAGGAACTAAAAAATGAATGGATATTGAATATTTCAGAACAACCGCTATTTATGATAGCGTACAATTTACTTCAGGATGCACTGAAGTAAAACACTAGAAATGCAAACAGACTTGATTTCTGCGCTTCTTTGTAGCTTATATTGTAAACCTCAAGGTTAAATGTTGAGCAACAACAAGAACTATGTCAATCAATTGTAGATCTAGTAAAAATCAAAGGAAATCAACACCTATCAACCGCAAAAAATTGCTATTAACTGACAAGACGACTGTAATATTACCTTCAGATAAAGGAAGAAAGACCGTCCTCACGAACATGATGAACTATTTTAAAAAGGCCCAAGAACTCCTCAACAACGATAATGCGTACCAATCACTAGACCAAGATTCAATCAAACTGTTGTTCAACCAGATCCGAGAAAAACTGAGGAATTTAATTAAAGTTGAGTGAATAACAAAAGAAGAACAATGGTGGATGAAGGCAAACGCCCCAATCTCACTGAGGTTTTACAATCGAAACAAAATACATAAGATAGATATTCCATTAAGACCATTAGCTTCACTACCTGGAACACCATTGAATCTATCGAAAGAACTATGCAGAAAATTAAAGCATCTCGTCAGCCAGCTCAGCAACTGAATTTTCAGATAAACAAAAGATTTAAGGATATACAGTGATGAATTGATGATATCCTTTGATGTGACTTCACTCTTCACTTCAATCGACTCAAACCTAGCCAAAGAGATAATTGGTATTATTCTAAAGAATGTTCAAACTCTTTCTGACAGTATGAAGCTCATGGTACCAAACCTAGAAGAGTTGATCTATCCATGCCTTAAACCTACTAGTAGTTCAATGGGAATAATTAGAAACAAATAACGGGGACACCTGTGGGATCACCAATATCAGTATTGATCACTGAAGCTGTGATGCAGCGGCTGGAATCAACAGCCATCAATCTTATCAAACCGAAATTGAATTCGGTGCGCTGACGATACATTCGTAATTCTCATTGAAGCTGAAGCAGAAAACACATTCAAACTAACCATCCAAACATTTGAAGGAATTCACTTCACGAAGGAAAAAGAAGTTAACAACAAAATTCCATTCTTAGATGTGCTCATGAGCAGAACACAGGATGAGACTTTACAAACTCAAGTGTACAGGAAAACCATATATATATATATATATATATATATATATATATATATATATATATATATATATATATATATATATATATATATATATACACGGATCGAATTTACAACTATAACAGAAATCATCCTGCAGTCCATTAAAAGTGTTGTGTACAAACATTATTCTCAAGAGTCAAAACACACTCCATCAATGAAGCACTCCGGAAAGCCGAAGACAAATACCTATACAAAGTGTTCAAAGCCGGCGGTTATCCACTTAACTTTATTAAGTGTTCACCAGTATGACAGAAGACATGCCAATTGCCTCAAATCAATAGGCACTTTACGCTGCCCTACAACAAAGGTGTCTCAGAAACTGTCAGTTGATTGTTTCGTCCGTTTTGGTTTAGAGTAGCACACAAAGCAACGAAATCACAACACAGCAAACTGTGCAAACTAAATGATTCGTTGCCAAAGGAAGATAGGATAAATCTACAGAATCAATCTCAAAGACTGTTCACAACACTATGTTGGCCAGTCTAACCATCGGACTGCTCAAAGAATTCACGAACACCATGCAACAGTAAAACGACATGATACAGCCTCCTTGGTTTCACTTCACATAAACATTCATGATCACAACACCCCAGGTCAATGAAAACACTATCCAAACATTTGTGTAACATTCGAATACGGTTCACTTCTTTGTGAAGTTAGTGCTGGGGATGTCACCAAGCCTGGTGATGAAATGTCCATGACAAAATATCAGAGCTCGAAGAACACCAAACCCCTGTCAATGCCGCTCCACCTACTAAGGTTTTGTATGCAAGATAGTATCAGTAACCTTCACACAATAGATTTACCTCATTGCATAATGCACTAATGAGCAAGATGTTCCTCGTTTCTAACTGCTTCCAGGGCCATATCAATTGGTATTTTGGTATACAAACTACATCAAAACTAACCTTTTTTTCATCGTAATCTAATGATGACGATGAGCTTACACTAGGAACTAAGGTACCAGTAGATGATATCATGCTATCAGCTATGCCTAACTTCCACAATGTTTTGGTTTCAGAATAAAATATACAAACAAACAGAATGAGTTGTCATGGGATCACCAATATCCCATACCGTGGCTGATATATTTATGGATAGTTGGGAACGGATGGCTGTAGAAAAATTTAGTCCGGCTCCAAAAATATGGTTTCGCTATATAGAAGACACGTTTACAGTGCTGAAATCAGAACACACACATAATTCAGTAGTCAACGCAATCCAATTCACCTATGAATTAGAAAATAGCGATGTTGGATTACCGAATAAAACGGAAACAAGATAGGAGTTTAGACACTAGTGACTACAGAAAACCTTCACATTAAAACCGTTACTTAGACTTCAAATCATCTCACCCTCTGTCAGTTAAAGTTGGCTGAGTAAAGTGTCTAAGTAACAGGGCCAAAAAACTTACTAGTAAAATAGAAGATCTAAAACGAGAAACAGATACATTAAAGATGCCTTAATCATCAACAATTACCCTCCCAAATAGATTGATAAGCTCCTTAAGAATCGTTAGAAAACTATCAGTAACACAGTTATTAATAGTAGTAATAATATTGGTAGTAACAGCGACAATAATAGTAACAATAGTGTTGATAACGATGTTAATAATAGTCGTGGCAATACTGTGAATAGAGGATTCAAAACCTCTACAGCATTACCATACAAAGAAGGCACCTTAGAAACACTTCGTAGAATTCACAATAAGGAAAACAGGGATTAGAGTGGCATTTAAATCTACAAATTCACTTCGAAATAAGCTTTGTAGGTTGCGATCTCATTGACCCAATTAAGCAGTATAACTTAGTTTACCAAATCCCTTGCAGCGGTTGCGAGGTCAAATACACAGGTCAAAGTAGTCGACTAGGGTCAATTAGGCTATCCGAACACTGAAACCTAACTAGGTCAAAATCGGTAGATCCTAGTTAGGTAAGGAATTTAGAAAAAAACTCAGCCACCGCTATGCATGCAATTAAAAAAAAACTCACAATAGGATGGGACAGGGTGAAAATTCTTAAAACTAACATAACAGGGTGGAGGGAGAGATTGATAACTGAATCTTTGTTTGTCGAATCAACACCTAACACATGCAACAGGAATGACTCAGTACCTGTTCCGGATATATGGAAAATCCCACTACCCATCTCACAAAGGGACGAGGAAATTAGGACTATATAAAGGATATTTCAAAGTTGTGTAGTTATCTTGATATGACTATGGACAATAAATTATATCCGAAACGTAATCCAGTAAACAATACTGTTACACTGTGTGATAAATCTAATAAATCAATAAAAATGGGACTCATAGTAAGTATTCAATAGCAAGATGTGAAAATCCACATCTTCAAATTTGTTATACTGATGAAATACTACCCATAAAAAAGCAAGCATACTAACCATATGTTATAATTTGTTGCTTATGGCCACCAGTGGATCCAGGAAGCGTTTTCGGTCCTGTTTTCGAATCTCCATGTAGGTGTACACTCTCTATGCAAATGAATGACAGTGTTCCCACTAGGACTCAGAACCCTTCACCAGTCACTTCAAACATTACAGCATTATCCACAAGGCTACTGAGGTAATTGCAGACAAGTAATAACTGATCCCCGTTACTCACAGGTGAACCGCATGCCTAGTGGATAGTATTCTGGCATTTGAAGTGATGCGTGCTGGGTTCCAGTCTCAGTGGAAGCACCACAACCCCCTCAAGTGCAGGTACATCCGGCTGAGAAGTCCCAAGTAGAACGAAGCAAGTTCTAATCAAGCACTACTGTTCATCAGGTTGCAGCGAAACGAATCGATTTCTATCACAGAACCACTGTATAATATTCTTGAAGCTTAACAACACCCAAGTGGATGGGAAGTTTATACCAGAACAATTAAACATATCAAAAATATCATGTTGGAATAAGTATCTGTTATTTCTGTTTCATATTGCAATCCAGTTTACACTGATTTTTTATCCTGCAGTTATTTTTTTACTTTTGATAAATTAGGTGGATTTTCTGGATGATCCTATTTCGGATCAAAGTATTCCAGAGCATAGAAAGGATAGAGCATGTGAATTAGAAGATTTAGAAAATGGTCAAAACTCTTTACAGGACAAATACACTACAGATTCATATCGACAAGTAAGCATTGTAACTAGTTGGCTCTATTAGTTATTTAACTTATCTTCAAACTGGAAAACTACTACTTAATTCATGCTGCTCAAAAATGTTTCACTTGGAGGAAATAACTAAACAATATTTCCTATGATGTTAATTGCTGATAGCAGTGAAATTCACAGCATGCATTCCTTTTTGCTTGTACCTGTATTAATTAATTCATTATGTTTACGTATTTCGAAAATGCATTTTCTACAATCTCACGATGTATTTGCCTAACACATGGTGAGCAATCTGACCAAATATAAGTGTAACTTATTTCCAGTGTGAAATGGGAAAGAAAGCTGGAATAACAGTAAAAATCAATAAAGATAAAATAAGAGTATATTTACCTTGATTTCGTCCCTGAATCTACCCCAGAATGTTTAGTGTAATGACAAATTATGATAATTTGGTTGGTTGCGGCTAATAGAAGAATCCAGGACGTGCATTTCGTCCTATTTGGGACTTCTGCTAGCCACAGCCAACCAAATTATCATAATTGACATTCAGGCAATATCAAGGCATCCACATAGGAGCTCATATGCCAATAGAGGTCGAACAATTCGATCCAACACAACAAACAATGAAAATAACAAGTATGTCAATAAATAGTAATAACTACTAGTCGTTGTACAAGAAGTGGTTATCGTTCCTCCATGGTATAGTAGTTAACGCCTTGGCGTTTGAAGCTGGAATAACAGTAAAATCAATAGAGACAAAATAAGAGTGTATTGGTCTTGATTTTGTCCCTGAATCTACCCCAGAATGTTTAGTGTAATGACAAATTAGTTGTGAACACTGTTGGTGCGAACTTTCATACGACTAACACCTGGACAAATACTAGCTACAAAGCTGCCTTTGTTCTAAGGTAGAGAAATGCTGCTGAAGGGACCCCTTTACAGCCAATCAGAAAAGGGTGGTGAATTTTTCATATGTTAAAGGAGCAACGGGATAGCTGAAAAATACTTTAAGTCAGTAAAAGTTCAGTTTTACACTTATTGGCTGGTTGTCAACCTTCGTATTACACGCGGATGACCGTTTGTTAGTTGAATGTCAAACTATAACTGTTTGAACTTGATGATGTTTGAATGTTTCTAAAAGTCACTGTAACAACTACTGAAGTAACCAATAAGTTCTGTCCTCTTTGTCAAAAAACCCACCTTTCCAGTCAAAATAAAGAACCTGATTGGTTATTTCAGTAGTTACGAGGGTGGCCTTTTAGTAAGTCTTTTTATTTACTTAAGCCTTAGATCAGTCACCGATCAATTTAAAGTGAGTCATAGAGTCTAAGACGTTGGCGGAAATATCCATTTCAGCCACTCACTGTAGTACACAGTCAACAGAGAAATTATTGTCATTAAATCAAGCTGGGAGTTTATGAAGAGTTATTGATTGATTTCAGGTTGGAATTAACCGTGGAATCAACCATGTCGAACATAAGGACAGTTACTCAACAAATGCATCAGGTGGAGGTCGTGCTGTATCGTGAACCGACAGAAGTGGGAAATATAGACCACTGGATTCAAACCCAACCGCTCAAGGGTAACGTGCTGGCCACGGAACCTGTAAGCCCTGGGTTCGATCCCTGGCGGGATGGAGTCGTGGCTGCACACGGCTGTCCAGTGCTCCAGGTTTCCAATGTTCCTCCTACTGATTTCAGTCCATGATGAATTCCAACCTGATATCGTCAGTAAATGGCGACTTAGCACAAATAGTTCACATTTGTGTTATTGCTTGTGTTACATCACTCACTGAGAGGCAGTTGCATCCAGCTGGTGAGTCCCAAATGGGACTGAAATGCGCGTCCTGGATTCCGTCGCTAGCCACTGCCCATCATTGCTATACATAGTTTACATTATACTGCAAAAATATAAGATGTCGAAACACGATGCTGAGTTTGATGTTGAACCACGCATTTTCTGATTTTGATGCTTAGTTAATTACTACAGTGTGACTCTTAACATCTTCGTAACAACAGAGGAAATAACTAATTAGACATTTTGATTTTATGAAGATTTGTCTCTCCAGCCGAAATCTTTGTATATCCTGATCACTTATCGTCAGGCCTGAACTAACCCTTACAGGTGGTTGCCCTTAAAACAGAGATCAGTAACATGCCTAGTTTGGATATTTATGTCCTCTAAATAAGGTCGACTTTAAAGGCCACCTCTAGTAGCTGCTGCAAATAACCAATCAAGTCCAGGTATTTTGGCTATGAAAGTAGTTTTTTTTAAAAGCATAAAAATGTAATTGGTTACCTTGAAGAAACAATAGACAACTTGACGAGAGACTGTATATTAGAAAGAATTGGAATGGTAGTCGTTACATGTGGTACTCCTTGACTAACGCAGCCATTTGCAAATGTCTTCGTTTCCTCTCTGTTCCTGTCTTGCATTTGGCTCTTGACCGACTCTTCATACACTCTTATCAGCAGCATCCCCTATGATACGCCTGTGTTGTCCCCTGAGTTGCTCTTGGCAGAAACCTTACCCATTGCCGGTAATTCCCTATGATTCCTGCCACCCTCTCTGATATATACTACTTATATCCGTTGTTATCAGCAACGCCTACTACAACCTTAGCAATTGTGAGAGGTTGAGGTTTTTTCCTCCGAGTACTTCTCCCCTCTAGTTTGTTCTCGGGTGGAGACAAAAAATTTGAAAGAAAAAGTAATTGGCTGATATTTCTATTTAAAAGACCATGTTTTGTGTCGCCAAAGAACATTTCTATTGAACTAGATCATTATTTGTTATTTATGCTTAGGATTGGATTAGAAAATCATGATAATTTATTGGATGATTTCACTTTTGAGGAATTAATCACCATACAGTCAAGGTTAAATCCAAAATTGATTTAGAATTTGAAGAAATTTTTATTCTTTAGTGACAGGGTTGTTTCATATTTCAGGAAACATTTTCCAAAAGGTATTGAGTGTCATTTATAACTGTAAATGAGGTTTTCAGAAAAATATAAATCTTAAATGTACCGTAAGTAAATTTTTAATTCAAAGTTTCTACACAATGATAAGTTTTTATTTATTTGGCTAATATTTTGAGTCAAGTTACTCCCCGTGATCGATCATATCAACAGTTGGAATATATTCATAATATTTTTCCTCGGTGTATAACGGAAATAAAAGCTTATCACTGTACGTCAGCTTTCATTAAAAAATTCCTTACAATAAGTTATTCCATTACACAATACACAATCTTTTCACCTATATATTTAACCCCTGGTAAGAATACACTACCAGCTGTAATTTTAAGGATAATATTATAAGGAACTGATAATTCAGCTTTGGTAGTTCTGATCTACATTAAAATGGTCTTCGAAAACCGGTTCTAACTGAGGGTCGACGTTTATTACACGGTACACTTCTCCCCCTTATTTATTTAGGATGAAGAAAGAAATTTGAAGTGAAAAATGACTGACTAGTTCCTCTGTTTAGAAGTCTGTATGTTTGTGTGGCCAAGGTACTTTCCTATTGGACTAGGACGCTTACTTAGTTGAGCTTAGATAAGCTATCTGTATTTAGATTGGCTTATAAAATTATTACTTGTCACATGAATTCTGTTTTAAGAGATTAATCGCCTTCAGGTTACGATTAAATCCAAAATGAATTTATAATTTGTGGAGAATTTAATTCTGTATAATGATAATGTTGTGTAATATTTCAGGGAACCTGTCTTAAAATGATTTTATTGTAATTGTTGTTATGATAATTGTAATTTCCTGTTGTTATACAGGGCTGAATTGCTCGACCTCTATTGGTATATGGGCTACCTTGTTACTACTGCTGATTCATGATCTAACGTTGACCTCGGTGACTAACAGAGGACTCCAGGACTGGTGTTTTGTTCTATTTGTTACTTGGGTTAGTGAAAAAGGCCCTGCCTGTTTAAGCGACGATAATCTTGGTGAGAAACTGATTTCTCTGCCGTGGTAGTTCTGACTAACATTAAGGTGGTCTTTGAAAACAAGTACTAACTGATAATCACGTTCATATAGGCCAACCTTACAAAGTATCTCCGCGTTTGCCTCGAAATTACTACTATATTAGCAATGGCCTTATGCTCTCCAATTCAGCTCCCGTCAACTTCGGCGCCCACGAACTATTGTCATAAAGCAGTGAATTGCAGGGATGATTGGGAGTTAACAGGCACCGAGTAACTGTCCAGGAACCTTCTAAGAACTTCGCGAGCACGAACGTCCGATAAGAACATTTCAGGGATATTCTATGAAGTAAATAATGAAAACAAACAGAACTGACCTTCTTGTCACTACACCAACTATTGACCGGCGTTCACTAACCTTATAGCAGACAAACTTAACGTAAGCTCTTCGGTCAACTTGCAAATGTGAATCTCGCACAACGTAGTGTGTGTACGTCTGTTTCTCATACTCCTTCAGGGCGACCTTCAAAGACTGTAGGGACGGAAACGCGGAGAGACAAAAACGCTACTATAAAATTCGATTCGTTTTCGGTTACAACGCTTTGGGCGGTATCATCGCTCATCATGAAAACAAAGCAACCCGTCCTCAGTTTCCTCCCTTTTATAGTACCTATGGATTTCGTACGAACCAATAACATGGGACATTTCATCGTCTATTTTAATTGGACAACAGGTGACACAGGGAGTGAGGGGGGAGGGATAGAAAATAACAGTTTAAAAAAATTATTACCATGGACCAAATGTATTCCTAACTGAGTAATCACTTTTCAAATGGTCAACTCTTATAATGTAATCTCCGCGTTTGCCACGAAATTGCTACCATGTAATCTGCTCTTTGAAGCATTTTATTGAGAGCGGATTTGTTGTTCAAGGTAAAGTATGATAGCAGGGAAACTATATCATTTCAGCTGATTAATGAAACAGCATTTATTTAATTTCCTATTGTTCAAAGAATTGGTAGTGCATATGAATTCTTATCATTACAGAATGATTGCTGTTGGTGGGTTACTAATAAATACTGTGTAAGTA